TATTTTGATCCAAAAACGTTTGAAAAAATTAAAAAACAATTAAAAAAAAATATTTTTTAGTCAACCTTGGTTTTATATGACAGAAGATGTTATTGAGGCAACAACTATGTATTTAGATTTTTTTATTAATTAATTAAAAAAAATTTTTTTAATTTTTAAAGGTGTTTGGTTTCACAAGCACAAGAACTTGTAAATATTTTTGAAAATTATTCTCCTAATTTTTAATTTAAAGGAAAATAATCTTTGTGAAGAAGAACTCGAAAAAAGTGTTTTAAAAGAATTTGGAAGGTGTTTAGAACAAATAATTGAAAGTGCTACTTCTTGTTTACCATTCCAAATACAACAACAATCTTCTTTATTGATACCTAAACATAAAATTGAAACAAATGATTTGGAAGGAAAAAATAATTTTTAAATAAAAAAAAATAATATTTTTTTAAATGATTGTAATTTTTTAATAATTAAAAGAAAATGATTCTTTTTTTTTAATATAAATTTCCACAAAAAAAACTTTTTCAATTTTACCCTTTAGAAAAATAGAATAATTATAGACTTAAATTTATGTTTATTGGAAAGTTTTAATTCAAGTCGCGAATCAGATCACACCTCTCGAGTAATTATGTTATGGTTTGATGTTTGGCCAGCAATTCGTAGCTATTTCTGACATGAGTTGATGTAGTCCCTAAAGTTATTGTCCATAATGTAAAATGAAATAATTATAAAACAAATTTTTAAAAGGAATCCATACAAAATATATTTTAAAAATATACATATTTAGGTCGATACTTTAAAATGAGAATATTTTTGTGTTAATTTTGTGGCTTCAAAATCAAAAATATAAAAAAATATTTCCTCCTTTACCCATATATTTACGTAAATAAATGATCCATTCTAAAATTATATTTCCACAATTAAAAAAAGATTTACATATTTTGTGCACTCATTCCCTCTCTCTCTTAATAAATTCTTCCATTATTTTTTTAATTATTAAAATATTAATTTGTATTAAAAAAAAGTAAAGGATTATAAAATATTTAAAGGATTAAAAAGAAGGTGAAGGATATATTGCCTTTTGAGTGTTCAAACATTTAATGAAAAAAGTTATTTGTACCTAATATTTTATTTGAGAGATTGCAAAAATTATTTTTCTTTTTAATTTTTTTTTAAAAACCCCTCTCAATATAAAGTATACCCAATATTAAATTAATTCAAATTAAGAACATTTTTTTGGTAGAAGGGGGGAGGAGGGATTGCTTGGATGATACCTGCTACATCTGAGATATATAGGTAGCTTAATTCGGGTTCTACTATTCTGGGGACTCATATTAGACTGACTTACATTATTTAAATATGTATTTATTTATACAATCAATTTATTTCTCCAATAAGAAGGGAGGGAATGTCTAGGCCAAATCTGATAATGAGGAATCTAGATAAACTTCTTTAAAAACGATTTTTTAATCCAAATAATGTATCTTCTTATAGTAAATTCATTGTAACAAATTAATTTAAAAAAATTTATATTTTTCTAAATTTAGTTAAAGAATTTAAAAACCCTTAAAAAGTCTTTTTTTAAAGCCGATTTAAAAGACTTTTTTATTCTCTAAATTCATTTTTTCAATTAAATATTTCCAATTACGTCAAAAAATATTTTTTAATTTCCAATTAAATGAATAACGGTGAATTTACCCGTTCCCCAACATTTTCTTCAGCAACAAACTCAACTACAAGTAATAACCCAGCCTTTTGGGTTGGATTTTTACTTTTAATTTTTGCTGTTTTGTTACTTGCTTTTATCGCAGGTTTAACTTTAAAAATAAAAAAAGAGATTTGACGCCAATTAAATAACAAAAAAAAATAATTAGTAAATAAAATGTACTTTTGTTAATATAAACATTATTTTTTACAAATAATCGGAAATATACATTTTCCTGTTATTTTATTTAATAAAAATAAATGCAAAAAAAAACTGATAAATTAATAATAATCAGAATATTCGAAACTGAGGTTACTCCCAAAAATATTACAGTATAGGTAAATCTCTTAACTTGGAGAGTACTTTATAGCTGTAATTAATACTTTTTTTTTAATTTTCTAGCTTGGGCAGCTTTTTATTGTCAATCAACTAATCAAGAAGTAATGGATTCTTCAGAAATGATTTTAAATAATCAGAGAATATTTCCACCAGAATTTTATCAAGTTAAAAGAACATGGTGGTCTTTTAATCGAATATTTCATTGTTGTTGTTGTTGCCGAAATAGAGGACAAGAAGATCCTTTAGATATTTATGAAAAAGTAAAAATTAAAAGATTTTTTAATTAAAAAAAATTTTTTTAAGGAATATAATTTAAATAAAGCAGCAATTGACTTTGCTATTCCCCCAACAACAACACAATCATCCTCTTTTAATAATAAACATTCTTCTTTACATCCATGTCGATCTTCCCCATTACCAATTGTTGCTATAGAAAGGCCTAATCATTTAGTTTTAACATTAGAAAGACCTCCAACACCTCGACCAGAAAGTTTTAGAAGAAATTCTGCACAAGTAATTTTTGAATATTTTAACCAATTTGGGGACCATTGGGTTAGGGAGAAAAGAATGATACACCTAATATTAACATCATATATAAGATAGAATTTTCTGTCCTAAAGGGGTGCCTGCCCTATGGAAAAGTAAATTTTTTAATATTTAAAGGCTGCTTATCGTTTATGGTTACAACAAAAGTTTGAAAAACAATTTGCTCAAGAATTGAGTGAAAGTAGGGATGGGAATCATGTCCAATTATTGGTAGAAGAACCAGAACTTTTGGCTGAACATTTTTTACCAGGAAAATATTTATAATATTATATTCATTTTATTGAATTTTTCCTAATTTATCCAAAGATTAAAATATACAAAATTTAATCCTGCAAAATATTCAGTATTTTAGAATTAAGTATCTTTAAATAGTAACAGTTTTGTGTGGTAAGGGAAAGAGTAAATAAAAATTAAACGTGGAAGTACAAACATGACGGCGGAATCGGCGCAAAGTCGTACTTTTGGATTTTATTGTCTATGATTTCGAAAATTTATTAGACGAAATGGGAGGATGATCATAGAAAGGGAGAAAGCTTAGAGCACATTCTTAATGCTAAATTATTTTAATTGATCTAAAAGATGATAAAAATTTAAAGTTTATTATTTAACTGAAAAATATATATAGCAATTGGAAAGGATCAAAGAAAATATTAATAAAAATAAAACAAAAACGAGCCAAATTATCAGAGACCTTCTTGGGTCAAAACTGTTCATTTATGTTTTGAACTTCAAAAAATTCTTTAAAAGAAACGAATGAACAGTCTTTTTTAGATTTAATGAAAAATTTCCAACCCCAAAAAACTTTATGACCTAAAAAATGATTAATTAGGTGGTGGCGGTGCCGAAAAGATCGATCCAAATTCTTCCTTAACCTTAAAATTTTCAAAAATAATTAAAATATATATTTAAAAAAGTTACCTCCGCTTTAGGAACTGGTGGCGGAGGAGGTGGTGGAGGCGGAAACATTGCCAACCCACCACCTGTTGACGATCCACCACCATCAGCACCAGTGTTCGGGGGAGGTGGAACAGGTGTAGGATAGCCTTGCCATGCTGCCCATGCAGCTGCTGCAGCAGCCGGATCTTGACCAGGAAGACCAGAAAATCCATAAAAATTACCTTGCGCTTCTAAATAAATTTTTTAATTCAAAATTAATTCTTTAAAAATTTGGTTTTTATGTTTGGCATAACCAATTATTTATAAATTAACATTAACTTCATAAATACTTGAACCCAATGCCCAATTTCTTTTGGCTAATTTAAAAAAAACATTCCATTTTAATAATTTAATGGAATATGGAACAATTTATAGCCGGATAACACATTATATAATAAATCTAAAACTAACCGCTTGCCCAAGGCTGGTATCCAGGTGGATGATTTCCAGGTGGTTGACTTCCAGGCTTTGACAGGTTGACACGCACAATTGGTGTTGGTGGCCCTGGAAGAGGAAAACGGGGGCGTACAGGGGGAGCTTGGAATGCGCCTAATGGCATTGCTGGTTTCACACCAGTTGAAGTTGCAGGTGGAAACATTCCAGCAGCTGCTCCCGCAGGAGCTTTTTCGCCTAATTCTGCCATCAAAGCAGAATACTAAACAAAAATTAAAAATCAAAAATATATTCTTTAAACCTCTGAATCAATCATCGCTGGATCTAGCGCAGACCTGGGATTTTTGCAATCTTTAGCAATGTGCCCAGCACCACCACAGGCAGTACAAACTATACTAGCTGTAATATTTTGAGCTTCCATACATTCCCAACTAAAAGAATTTTTCTTGTTAAAAAGTGAAAGATAAAATAAACGTTTTATGTTGATCACTGCCACAATTACTACAACGAGCACCACTTAACACATCTTCAGGTCTAAGAGTTCCATTCAATAATGCCAATTCACGGAGCTGTAGTTTGCGTAGTTCATTCTGTCCATCCGGAATCATCAATGCTGCATTAACTATTTCTCTAATCTATAAGGGGTTAATAAATAATATATTTAGTTCACAAAACAAACTTTATCACATCCTCGTTTAATAGCTTCATTATCGGTTGCAGTAATATATGCGTGTAGAGGCTCGTTCTCACCAGGCAGAGGCCCTGGCCTTGTACCAAGTTTACCTTCTTTTATTGAACCCTTTCCTCTGATAATTATTTTGGCGCCAGTCTAAAGAAATTTGTTTACTTTTTAAATATAAATGTAAAGAAAAAACCTCTGCTTCCAAAGCCTTTAATGTATTTCCACGTGGACCAATTAGAAGGCCAACAAAATTAATTTCAGGGTGTTCTTCTTGTGGAATCCATACTTTATCGTGAAGTTTTATAGTTGGCGGACTTAAAGATTGTTTTTAAAAACAATTAAGACTTAATACAGTACTTAATTTCGTCTTCCTTTGTTTTTTTCCCTACTTCAAAAATTACTAACGATTTAATTTCTTGAAGCAAGAAGAAAATAGAAAGAACAGAAACATATGAAAGGTGCCAAAATATCAAAAACAAACCGATAATCCGTTGGTGGCTTGTAGTTAGGATTTAACCTCAAAATTGCTTGGATTTTCTCATGCCGCCGCAGTTCAAGCTCCTGTCGTTTACGTATTTCTCTTGTATTTAATCTTTTTCCAGTTATGTCATAAACAGGTTCTGGCGATGGACTCCTGAATTGAAAAATCTTGAGTTAAAAAGCATAAATATTTTAAAACTGAGGACTTTTTTGGGAATCAGCCCAGCCCATTATTGAGAGAAAGAGAGAGGCATCTAAAAATATTTTAGAAAAAACTCTCATCAATTTCTTTTTTAAATTAATTGTTTAAAGTATAAAAAAATTTTTTAGTTTGGGCATGCACATTCTCCAAGCTGAAAAAGCTAAATTTTATATTAATTTTAGGATTAGAGAAATTGCTGCCATATTGAAAAATTAATTCTAAAAACATTATATTAAAAATGATTAGTTAGAAAACAAAAAAAGATTAGCTAAATATATAGATTAAAATAAATACAATCTCCCCCCTTTAAACCCAAAAATATATCCATTAAAGACCTCTCTGACGGATCCAAATTTTGACCAAAGTCACATTGCCGTAATCGACGCGTTGTTTCTTCAACATCCATTTGAACTATAAAGATTAAAATAGTATATTTTAAGTAATCAAAGATAGGTGGAGGGGGCCTCCCGGAAAAGCACTAGATGTTCAGAAATGGTAACAAATTAATTCGAAAATTTAATTGTCAATCCAGTTATGTTGCATGAAACACACGCCGGAGACAAAAATTTATGGAGAAGTTTTAATAAAATATTAAAACATACGCAAATAAATCTGTCGTTGATTATCATCGATGTCAGCAGGTAAAATTGTTGGCATTCCCGGTACAAAAGCTTTTGTGTTGCTCCAACGCGATTTACGTCGTTTCTCTCTTTGTTCATCACTTTCTGTTTGTCCTGCTTTTTTACCATCAACTGAGGAACAAAATCGACAAAATAGAAATTATTTAATAAAAATCTATATACACTGGTCTTTAGAAAGAACCGTATCAGCATATCCAGTCTGCTTAGGAGGTATTTTAGCAATTAATTCGGTAGATACGGGAGCTCCGTGAGTCTTTTTCAATTTCTGAGCCACCATTGCCGCTGCTGCAAGCGCCGCTGAAAGGGCATCACCCCCTGCCGACTGTTTTTGTTGCTCCTAATTTGAAAAGAAACAATTAATTTTTTTGAATAGAAAAACCTCCTGCCAAGTTTGGCCATAATCAGAAACTTCTTGCTTCATTGATTGTTGCATCTGCTGCTGCATGATTTGCATTTCTATCTGTTGTTGACGTTGCTGAACTTGTTGGAGATAATCTGGAGGGGGAGGAAAAGCAGATAAGCCATCGTCACGTGACCGATCATCTAGAATATAAAAATAAGTAATATTTCCAATCAATGGCACGCATAAGCAATCCACGCATAAGCAATCATAAGCAAAAAACGTTTTAAGAAAAAGTATAAAAACACACCTCTATCTCTACCATCATCACGACTACGAGATCGGCGCCTCTTGCTTCGTCCCTCACGCGACCTTGAACGTTTCTTATGTCTCTTTTTATCAGGAGAACGAGAACGTCGCTTGTCTCTCTTCGGGGATCGTGAACGATCACGATGTCGATGCTTTTTAGGCGGAGAAACATCACTTGCAGATTCTAAAATTAAAATTGTAAAAATAATATAGACACTAAAAGGTTACCACTTCCATTTGGGTGAACTCGTGTTGGGTCTTCCACATCGTCATCATTTGCTGAAGCACCCCAACGCCGCACAAATGGCATTGGTTCCATATTTCCGCCTGTTTTGCCTCGTGACATTTTATATTTCAGAAAAAATATTTATAAATAAAAGCTGAAGATTTTCAAAAACATTGTAAAAAATGAACAGATAAAAATAGGTATAAAAATTAACTTGAATGAAAACTAAATTCAATAGTAAACAAGTTTATAGAAGTAAATATACAAAAATAATTGAAAAGTTGACAAACGAAACGAGATCAAAATCTTGTTTACAAACCTTCATGTAAAAGGGATCCTCCAACAAAACAAATTTATGTTTACAAACCTTCATGTAAAAGGGATCCTCCAACAAAACAAATTTATTTAACTTCACCAGATTCAACAATAACAACCTATAAAGTTATATTGATTGACATATTTTAGATATCTAGTAACCTGCATCATTGGCTTTCCAGAAGCGGTACCCTGCTGCTCAATTTGACGAACAATATTCATTCCTTCTACGACATGACCAAAAACAACATGTTTCCCATCCAACCACTCAGTCTTCTCTGTGCAAATAAAAAATTGTGATCCATTTGTGTTTGGGCCACAATTGGCCATTGAAAGAACACCAGGCATGACATGTTTTAACTTGATAATAAAATCTTTTAAGAACAATTAAGGAAAGAAACTTTAAAATTTTCATCCTCAAACTTGACTCCATAAATCGATTTTCCTCCCGTGCCATCACCTGCGGTAAAATCTCCTCCTTGTATCATAAACTTTGGGATTATCCTATGAAACTTGGAGCCTTAAAAGTTAAAAGCATTAAAAACAATTCAACAAACGTAAATAACCTTCAAAGCCAAATCCTCGTTCCCCAGTACATAATGCTCGAAAATTTTCGGCCGTTTTTGGGACAATATCAGATCTCAACTCAATAACTATTCGACCAATATACCTGTGGAAATAAACATAAGAAATTGATTTGGTTTAGATATTCATATATTACCTAATTCCAATTTTTACTCCAAGAAAAACTCGAGGCAACCTTTGTTCTGTTTCTGAACCTTCTTTATCAATATTAATAACTTCATCAGATTCCTTCTCTGTTTTATTGTCGTTCAATTCCTCTGAATTACCCGTTCCTTGGCCATATTGTTTGAGCCATTCATCATCGGCCCAAATAGGCCTTTGACTTCGTTCATTAACCTTGGGAGGTCTGGCAAAATTAACGTGAATTGTACGTCCGTATATTTCAGAACAGTCCAAATTGTCAATTGCTGCAGCTGCATCTTCGGGGAGCTCAAATTCAACAAAACTTAAAATTTATTATAAAATGGCGAGTTTATATTATCCAAAAGCTTGTCAGATCCTTTCATGAAAAATTAAAATGTTACCCAAAACTCCTATGTTTTCCAGTTTCATTATCAAGAGGAATACTAACTCCAACAATATCTCCGAACGGAATAAAAGCCAAAGTAAGAATTTTTTCATTAACCTCTTCTCCAAAACCACCGACATATACTGTCCGTTTACGACTGTGTGGAAAATTTGTAGTGTATGACATTGGGATCTTTAAATTCTAGATGGTTTAATTGAAAAAATAAAAGATAAATATGATTATGCATGAGACAACGATGAAGAATAAAATAAGCGGAAGCTATTCACAATTTATCAACTTAAATGGCGACAGAAAGCAAATACGTAGAAATATAGAACGAGCGGGATAATTCATTATCTATGTGTCATGTAAATCATTGAATCGTTGAATGGCTGATTTTCTATTTCTATCCTTCCACGAGGCATTAACATCAATTTTAGAACCAGAAGAGCCCAGACCAACACCTTGAACATGCTGTTCCGCTTGTATTGGTTGAACGATGCCTAAAGTAAAACTTAAAATTTTTTACAGAAATAACAATACCTTGAAGATTTCGTCCTAGTCCACAACCTTCACTCCATCCCATAGACTTGAGCATTCTGTTACCAACATTTGTAGAGTCCAAAGGCTTTGCCGCCTTATAAGCAGCGACCGCCTGTGTCACTTCGGCGGAGGCATCTTCAGGTTCATCTTGTAGCCCTTAAAATATTTATTAACACAGAATACTACAAATAAGAAACCTGGATCATAACCGAAATGACTCCTCCGCTCCCTCGCTCTGTCCCGATACTGCTGTTCGGGAGTGCAACCCTTGTCTCTTTGGAATTCCTTAACCTTGGCCATCAAATTATTCTAAAAATAAAAAAAACGTGACAAAGACAAAAATAGTGAGAAATTAAAACCACAATTAATGTCCAAGAGGCCAGTATTTTTTAAGGGAAGTGGGTTATTTAAAATTTGTTTTAAGATATAGAAAAAACTGATAATGAAACCTAAATTGGTAAAAACTGAATTAAGCCTTATGAATTAAACAATATCTTCTGGATAAAATTTCATACCTTATGTAAATTACTCATGTTAACATGTTTATCTAGCGTTTGAACATCTGGAAACTGGCGGCGACAAAGAAGGCAAAATTTTTTAGTCTGATCAATGTATTTGGACTCATCAAATGCATTAGCATGATCATCAGATTCAGCGCCAATACTATCACCATGGTCTTTGCCAGAGAGAGGCTGCTGTTGGTCTGGAAATAGAGAAGATCAGCATAAAGATAATTGATCCAAAGGGCCGTGAAGTTCAATTGGCGGACGCAAATCCGCCATGACGAGGTGAACGTTACGGAATCCACCAAAGTACCATTGCTTTGTTCGATTGGAGTATCACTGGAAACAGCAAGTCCGGCACTCATTTGGGCCCTGGCCTTCCTGACACGAAACAGTCGATGCGTGACACCAAGATATTTTCCAGGCAGAGCAGCACCAGCAGGCACAACTTCAGACCCATCATCATCGTCGTCATCCCAAGGCTTCTAAATCAGGAAATAAAAAATCAAAAAAATCCAAAAACAAGACATCTCTAATTCATTTAATCTCAACCTTGATAGGCTCAAGCGGTGATTCCATGACATTCTTATTTATTGGTTTGCTCATAACATTTGAAACACTTGATTTCTCAACGGGTGTAACGGGTATTTGCGGTTGTTTAAAAGACATTTTTATTTTATCCTGACGACGAGCCCACTTTTCCATTTCCTTTTGAATTTCTTGGGGAGTTTTTGGCTAAAACCGTGTTTTAAATCATTGAGAAAAATTAAATGAACTTTGTTCTCATCATCGTCTTTATGCTTCCTTTTGCGTTTTACGACAGGCTTACTGGATTCTTCGGCCACTTCATCCTTGGACGGGACAACAGCAAGTGATTCAACATGTGATTGTTCCTAAAATTAAAAATAAATACTTATATGTATGATTATAAACCAAGTTTGTTTCCAATTCCGTAGAAGAACAAGTAGGAAGATTAGCAACTGAGCAAGATTCAGTAGACTGACGCGTCAACCGTTCCTCCTCCTGCAATTTGCTTTTCAACTCGTCATCACCTCCATGGCAATCAATGTAACAAGAATAGCGATGAGACCAAAACATCCACTGAAACGCGGCAGCAAATAATTTAACGATATTGGATAAAGTGAATTTTTAAAAAAATCCTAGCCATTGATATTCACAAACATGATTAGTATTGGTGTTAAAATAGTATTGTGTTTTCGAGTCAAAGTAAAATCCAGTCGCCGTGTCATAATAATATCCAGAGGAAGGTTCAAATTGGAAGGATTTCGGATCCGGTGTTTCTAAATATGCAAAAGTTAAAAATAAACAAGAAAATATTCCAAGACCATAGACAGGCAGATAACCAAAAGGAGTTGATACACACTGTCGAGGGGGCACTTCATATGTGGAAACAGCTGGTGTAGCATTAGGCGTTGAGCGTCCCATGTTGGCGATTCTTATTGCATTTTGGGCAAGTTGAGCAGCGGAGTTTGTGGGGTCTGAGATCGTACATTATAATAAAAATATAAAAAACCTTCACTGATGCTAGAGCTACTGATTCCGCTCTGACTCTTCAAAATATTGACATTCTCCAGTATGAGTATTTGATTGAGGGACTGGCGCGAATAAGTAATAATCACTTAAAGTACTTAAATTTTAATAAAAGAAAAGTTATTAAACCTGCACAATTATCAATATAAGGAACGGTTTTGTTGAAGATATGAAGAACAGTTCCCGCTTCATCACTTGACCTCATTTGAACAAAAGCATATAGCTTTGAAGAGGATATTTGAACGCGTTGAATAGTCAGATCCGTATATTTCCCAAGAGATGAGCGAATGATTTCTTCAGTAACAGTAACGGGCAATTCGCGAATTAACAACGCTTTTTGGTAAATTTGATAAATTAATAATTATAGGATAAACAAGTACCACTGAAAATTAAATAACTTACTGTCTGAAGGTGAAACTCCAACCATAGCATAACCTTTAGCCTCCATAGCATCCGACTCCTGTCTAGAAGTTCCACACTTGAAACAATTAGTCCTTCGGTTAAAGTTATTTATTGTGCACTTAAATTAAATAAATGTTGAAGTCGTAAAAAAGAAAAACCTTTGAGCAAGTCCAGTCAGATGCTAATGGATTGTAGGTGTGTTTTTCACGTGCAATTTCTTCACGTGAATATTCCAAGCGTACTTGAAAACCATCGTCAAGCTTTAAATATCCCTTTAAACGAATTTAAAATGGTTTGAAGTAATAAAGAACGAAGAAAACCTTGTTAAAGCTAATCCAATCCTCAGCAGTGTAAACATCAGAAAATTCGATAAAACCAAAAACACGAACAGAACCACCATCTGTGTTACGGCGAACAACACGAATGTCAATTGGATGATAACCTTGCCTTGCTAGTAGAATATTAAGCTTAAAATTCATAGAGTATTATAAGTACTTATAAGAAAATATATACCACATCCTTGTCGACATACGAGGGTAAAGAAGTCAAAATAACTTTGCTTGAAGGTTTGGAAGTATCAGCAGGTGAACGCCGACGCGAGAACTTAAAAAAAACTTTTTTTGTTCATTAACAGATTTAATAATTACCGGGCTCCTGGTGCGTTCTCTCCTCCGTCTTGGTGATCTTCTACGACTATATCTTCCGCGGTCCCTACTTCTGCTTCTACTACGAGAACGAGAACGATCGGTTCTATAATCACGATCACGTGGGGAACTATCATATGTCGATCGAGAGGTAGATCTCGATCTAGAGAGTGAAGAGCTTGTTGATCTGCTATCACGATTTCGTCGGCTCATTTAACTTATATTTAAAATATATAGTATATTTCTAGACGAAAAAAGAAAGGTTAAAATCAATCCAATTAAAGCAAAAAATATTCCACAAATCTCATAACCAGTGACAAGAATTTTCTTAACTTTGGCCCAATCATGACGTCGAGACTGAGATAGCAGGACTGAAATGTCCTATAGACTACTGTAGAGCAGATCGGCGCCGACACTTTGGCGCGACCACCCTGCAAAAGACCGGTCTGGCGCAGGGAAAATTTGGCGCAAGGCTGGGAATTTTACACATGATATTGAGCGATTTCCCTATATCGACTTAATTCTTTCAATCCTCTGATATTTCGCAAAATCTCCTCGATAGGGGACACTAAATTTAACGTTTTTGTTTAATGTTTTACCAAAATAGATGTTTAGAAAAATTTATCGAATGGTGTTCGGAACATTTATTAAATCGGGAGAGAAGATATCACTTTTTCAACTGAGGGCTGTTAATAAAGTCGATCGAATCTCCAAAGGAGAAAAAACGCCAGTGGTGCATTATCCAAGAGAAGAGAAATTTTTGAAAAAAATGTTAAATGATACTAAAATCAGAGAGGTCTTATTCTCTACAAAAATAAACATTAATTAATATTTTTTAGAAAATCGACAAAAAATATGACCAACTTCTCAAAAATGCAGATCAAATAACTATAACGTCAACAGACCCTCCAGAAATACCAAAATCTGAGAGGTTTTTCTATAAACATTTTTATGAATAAAATAAAATCTTTTAGAGATCTTCCAAAGAGAGAATGGGAATATGACATAGAGAACAGTAAATATGAATACGAATATGGTTTTTATGAACCGCCTGTAGAAAAAATAGAAGAAAATAGACTCATGTTTAGAGAAGCGTTAGAGGTTTTACTTTTTGTATTTTCATTTACATACTCTTCAGATACTTAGAGCCCGAATGGAACTTGAATCTGTTCCTGAGGAGGCAAGAGATAAACATCAAGCAACTTCTCTTCTCGAATCTCATCCAGTAAGTAAATTTCACAGCTCTAAATTTTATTTGTTTTTAGGCTCTTAAACGTGTTGAAAGGACAAAAATAGATACAATGTGGAATTTTTTTAGGCCCTTTGCTGTTTGTGAAGAGCAAAATGTATTTTAATATTAATTTATATAATTTTTTTAAACTTGTTTTTCTAGATAGCTAGAAGTTATGATATGGAAAACATTCTTTCCTTTGCTCAGGGATATGGACCGAGGCAACTTACTAACGCTCAGGTGTTTGCTGAATTACAGAGAGCGTCGAGACATCTTCCTCATGATGGTGGGGTTGTACGTGATGAATCCACTGAAGTAAGATGGAGTTTTATTGAAAATTTTATAGGCGTGAACTTGTATAAAGTTTTAAAAAAATCTCAAATAATCTAATATCGTACAGCCATAATTCTTACTCTTTTTTTAGATGGTTCCTGATTTTGAATCTAAAAGTAAAGAGAAAGGCGAAAAAGAAACTGAAAGGTTGGAAAGTTCGTTGAGAGAGCTTTTTAAGGTTTCTTTTAAATTTTTATCTTAAATTTTAATGTTAAGGTCGAAAAATCTTCAAATCAGACATCTGGCAATAAGAAGGAATGATAGATTATAGGATTTTATTTTTGTTATTGTTTTTTAAATATTTTTTGAAATAAATTTTTGAAAATTTATTTTCTTTTTTTTAAACACTTCTGTTAGAAACAAGATTTATATATTAAATTTACATTTTATACTCAAGACTGAAGTTGGGTGTAGCTTAGTTAATCCCAGAACATTCTTTTATGTGGACTTATTTTTCTAAATAATTTTATGCTTTTTCAGACATTCCTTTATTCTTATTTCCATTATTAGATCGAACATGTATCCATTTTTGGCCACACAACAATATATCAATGAAATGTTAAGATTAGCTGGACCTGGAATGAAAATAATTTTAATGGATAAAGAAACGGTTTAATTTATGCTTATTTTTAATCTTTTTTAAATTGTTCAGACTACAATTGTTTCGTGTGCGTATACTCAAAGCGAAATGATGTTAAAAGAAGTGTTTTTGTTTGAACGGATAGATTCTGGAATTATTAGAGAAACAATAAAATTTCTAAAATGTATAGTTTTTGTTCGGCCAACACCTGAAAATATTAAACTTTTATCTGATGAACTAAAATCTCCTAAATATGCGCAATATTATTTATGTAAATTGTTTTGATTGTAAAACAGTTCTTATTTTTAATGAACTATCGGAGGGGGCTCCACCCTCATTCCATAATTCTTCAGTAATTTTTAATTTTAGACTTTTCAAACATAATCTCCAAAGCTGATCTCAAAACATTGGCTGACTCTGACGAGCAGGAAACTGTTAGAGAAGTTCGTGAATTCTACGCTGATTTCATTCCTATTTCTCCATATTTTGTTACACTTGACATTCCAAATCCATACACTTCTCAACGCTTTTTATTTTCGTCTTCGTCATTTAGGCGATGTTTACAAGCTTTAACAGCACTTTGCCTTTCTTTGAATAAAAAACCTTCAATTAGGTTATAAATATCTATTTATTTTTTTTTAAATTGTGTTTTTTATAGATATCAAAAAACATCAAGCGACGCCCAAAGATTGGCAGAGGAATTAATAAAACAACAATCAAAAGATGTAACATTATTTGAACAGTGTAAAACTGACGCCGTTTTGATTATTTTTGACAGAAGCGAAGTGATTTTTCCTTTTTGTAAATTATTTTTTTGTTTTTAAGGATCCTGTTTCTCCACTTTTGAATCAATGGACTTATGAAGCAATGGTTCATGAATTAATTGGTATGCATAATAATCGTGTAAAATTAGGGAATGATGCTAAAGATGAACAGAAGAATTTAATTTTGAGTTCCCATCACGACGAATTTTATTCAAAGGTTTGTATGATACCTTGTTCATATCTGACTGATTGTGAGATAATTAAAAAAATAATCCTTTATTGACTTATTGAACGCATTGAAAAGGGTAGAATTGAGGAGAGAAGAACCTTGATATGCTTTTTTTAATTGTAAAGGAAAGATTAATCTTGAGATTGAAATAGAGGCGAGATATGAACAGAGATCTCTTATATCTCTCATTTATCTTTACTTCTCTTTTACTAAATTATTAATTAAGAATATGTTTTCAAACTTTGGTGATATTGGACAGAATATAAAGTGCTTAATGAATGATTATCAACGCAAAGCACAAACACATCAACAATTGGAATCTATTGTGGATATGAAAAGGTTTATTGAACAATATCCTCAATTTCGAAAAATGACAGGTATTTTATGATTGAAATTTAATCTTTGGTTTAATTACAAAAAGGGACCGTCTCCAAACATGTACAATTAGTTAGTGAACTTAGCCATCTTGTGACAGAATGGAATTTATTAGAAATTTCTGAATTAGAGCAAAATATAGCTGTTGCAAATGGTGATCATCAAACTTGTATAGAATCACTTAAAAGAATACTTCAACATCCAAAAACAACTGAATTAGTTTTATTTATTTTATTAAAAGAAAATAATTTTTATTTCCTTTTAAAAAGAATGCACTTCGTTTAGCAATGCTTTACGCTCTTCGATTTGAATCTTCTGCAAACAACTCGTTAAATTTAATTTTAGATTTATTACGGCAAAGGGGAATTACAAATCGAAATATTCAACTAGTCAAAATTTTATTAGAATATTCTGGCCACAAAAAACGACAAAGTGATTTATTTGGTAATAAATCTGCTATGGAAATGACTAAAAAATTTATTAAAGGTACGGGGACTGTAGTTTAAGTTTATACGATTTTTACCTTATTTTAGGCTTGAAGGGCGTTGAAAACATTTACACACAACATGAACCTTATATTACACAGTTAATTGAATCTGTTAGTCGTGGAAAATTACCTGTGTCTAATTTTGCTTCTACAGATTCTTCTATAAAGTAATTTAAAAATTTTTTATTGAATATCTTTGTTTAGTTCTCGTTTTGACGAAATAATAATTTTTATAATTGGGGGTGCTACTTTTGAAGAAAGTGCGGCGGTAGCTCGAATGAATGGACGAGGGATGACTAATTTAATTGGCCAAACCCAGACAACCGGATCCTCACCTCTTCGAGTTGTACTTTGTTCTAATTATGTACATAACACAAAAAGGTATTATTAAGCAGCTTATTTTATTAAAAATATTTTAATAATTTGCAATTTTAACGTTGGGTTTGTCGGTTGGAAAAATGAACCGAAGCGGGAAATTTTCTGACTTTTTCATCGGCGACTCGAAAATCTTTGGCTTCCTTTTATTTTTGTCTATCTGTTTGGTTTTCGGGTAACCGGGAGATTTTTGGAAACCGGCAATTCTACTTATTATTGACATTTTTTTCTTTTTTTTCACTACATGACTAAATTTCATTTTTTAGTTTTATATCACAACTTGCGCAATATAATTCTGTTGCAAAAAGTGATGGGCCGTTTGATTTGTCATCTATTCCTTAAAAATATAAAATTTATTATCGAATAAATTCAAAGATTTTTATAATATTCTTTTAATCCTTTATAAAGGATAAGTTTTATATATTAAATTTTGTATTTTTATAAACTACTTTTTGTTTTATTTTGGGAATTATGGCACTAAAAAGAGTAGTTTGTGCAATATCAGGAGGTGTTGACAGGTATTATTGTAAAATTGTTACTCAAATTATTTATGAATTACAATTGTCTTTTAAGTGCAGTTAGTGCATTTTTGCTCAAGCAACGTGGTTATGATGTTATTGGTGTTCATATGGTTTATATTTTTTGGGATAAATTTAACATAATTTGGGTTTTTTACAGATAAATTGGGACACACAAGATGAAAACAAAGGTCTTTTTGAATATTTAAATTTTTTAAAGGTCCTTTCAATTTTAATTTAAAATCTTTATATATAGATCCGTGTCCTGGAAAAAATGAAATGATTGATGCGCGCCGTGTGTTTGTCATTTAAATGATATGAATCTTAAATTAGCTTATTTAGATGTGAACATCTTGGTATCGAATTTTATGTAATGAATTTTGTAAAGGAATATTGGAACAACGTATTTTTGTATGTATATGGGAGATTGAACTAGGTCTGCGCCAAGGCACATCTTTTATGTCAAACATTTTCTAAGCGTCTGGGGGTTTTCTTGGTTCTACCTAGGTCTGTGCATTAAAATTACTTCAGGCCCAGACTTAAGAATTTCGTCTTTAATGTTTTTTTACTTGTTATTAATTTAGAAGGTTCATTGAGAATTATCGTTTGGGTCGAACTGTTGTCCCTGACAATGATTGCAATAAGTAAAGTTTAAATATAATTTTTAATTTAATTTATTTTCAGATTTATAAAATTTGATTTGTTTATCAAGTCTGTAGAAGAAAAATTTGGAATTTTCAATGTTGCAACAGGGCATTATGCACGAACTTCGCTTGGTGCTTTTCATGATACTCCAAACGAGGAAGGTTTGATTTTTAAAAATTAATTTAGTTTTTAATTTTTTAAAGTTAAATTATACAGAGCTAGAGACCCATTAAAAGACCAAACTTACTTTTTGTCTTCTTTGACCCAAGATCAAATAAAAAATATAATGTTCCCTATTGGATCTCTTTATAAAAGTGAAGTTAAAGAAATTGCTGAAACTGCCGGTCTTACGCCTTTTATCACCAAAACTGAGGTTTTTTAAATTTTGAATAGATATATTTCTATTTTTAGAGTATGGGAATGTGCTTTATTGGAAAAAAGAAGAATTTTGAAGAATTTCTAATAAATTATATTAGTCCAATTGAAGGGAGATTTTGTGATATAGAAACTGGTTCTGTAATTCCAGATGTAATACACAGCGGTATTCACAACTTTACTCTGGGGAAAAAGGTTAATTTTAATTGTGTCGAAGGCAACAGAAGTTCTTTACAAAATATTTCTTCGAGTGATGCTCTTTATGTAGCTGGCTGTGATTTTCAAACACAAACTGTTTATGTGGTATTTGTGCATTTACTTTTGATTATCGAAATGTTTTATTTTAGTGTAAAGGATGTTCGAATCCAAAATTATATGCAACAAGGATATGTGAGTAAAGTTTTTAATTAATTTTATTTTAGAATTTTATGTTATAGTGGTTTCTAAAATAAATATGATTTCTGATAGTTTTCAAAAATTTCTACAAAATCAACATTCAAGAACTAGGGATCCTTTAAGAATTCTTATTCAACGAACACATTCTCCTATTTTATGTAAAGTGAATTTTTCATCAGAAAAACCACTACAATATTCTGATTATTTGGAAATTGAGCCTCTCTATCCATTGAGAGCCCCTGGACCTGGTCAGGTAAGATTTCAAGCTTACAGCTATTTTTATTATTTTAGAAACTTTATTCTTTCAGATATGTGTTTTCTATTTGGGAAATGAATGTTTGGGATGTGCAGAGATTGAAAGAATATTGGAAACACTCAATTAATTTTTTTATTTTGTTAGATCATTTTTGTTATATTTTTATAAAATTTTTTGAATGAATCGAAAATTTTCTGTTTTTAAAAGTTAATGTCCATTTTTTACTTTAAATTTATTCCGGCAATAACTTTAATTTTGAAAAGAATTATTTTTGATAGTTTTGATAAAAAAATGTCCAATCAAGTGGCGACTGAACAAATTGTTGGGCTGCTCCAAGCAACACTTTCTCCGGAGTCAGTTAAACAGGCACAAGAAGGGTTGGCACAACAGGCTGTCATTCCAGGTATTTCACAAATTTAAAAATTATTTTGCAAAAATTTTCTGCTTGAAGGGTATGCACGTGTTCTTCTAAAAATTTTATGTGATGCCAATTATCCCAATCATATTCGCAACATCGCTGCTATTTCTTTAAAGAATTTTGTTAAGATGAATTGGTCTGGCGAGGGAGATATACCAATATCTGATGATGAGCGGGAAGAGTTGAGAAATGCTCTTTTGGAAATTATGTTTCAAGTTTATTTTTATAATCTTTTTTAAATTAAATATTCGTTAAGGTCCCGCAATTTTTGCGATCGCTTATAACTGAGATTGTTTGTCAAGTTAGTAAATATGATTTTCCTGAACGATGGCCACGTCTTGTCCAGTTACTCGCTGAAAATTTGTCAAAGGCTACAGATTTTGACCAACTTGTTGTTTCATTGGGTACATTAGAGCAAATGATTTCTCGCTATCGACATGAAATGCGTTCTGATTCTCTTTGGAGGGAAATTATTTTTGTCGTTCAAAATGTTTTTTAATTTTGTTTTTAATTATAAAAATTAATTGTTAAGGTGGCAGAACCATTGACTCAACTATTTTCTAAAATGCAGTTCTATCTTCCAGACCAAGAAGGGGGGACACAGCTTAGTCCAACTGACAGAATTTCTTGGCTACAAATTGTGCTTGAATTAACACGAATTTATCATTCACTAATTTCTCAGGATCTCCCAGAATATTTTGAGGTTTTTGAATACATTCGAACCTCACTAAATTACACTTTTGGGGCTAAAAATTTGGATCTTAAAATGAGTTTTTTTGAATGGGTTGTATCGCTTGGGTTGTATTGCCCCATCTTGTGGCAAACTAAATTAAAAAAATGTATCTTATAGTGAAGTTCAATGTAATTATTATAAATTACAAAAATACAACATTTTTCAGGATAATCTTACTCCTTGGATGGAGGGATTTTTGCAAATGTTAAGTTTAAAATTGCCTGAACAAAATTCACAATTAACTACTGATCCGACTGAACATGATAAACTTTGCACTGAAATATGTGAAATAGCAACATTATTTTCACAGCGATTTGAAGACTGTTTTGTTCCTTATACTCAACGATTCATGGGCACAGTTTGGAATCTTTTAGTCTTTGCTGATGGAAAAATTCGGTATAAAAGATTTTTTAATTGTTTAATATTAATTTTATTTAAATAAAGATTTGATGCGTTAGTTAATTCTGCATTGGGTTTTCTTGCTGCTATCTGCCAACGTCCACAATATGTTCCATATTTCCGGGATGAGGGCGTACTAAAGGCAATTTGTGACAATGTTATTGTAAAGAATTTAACTCTGCGTCCAGAAGACTTTGAAATTTTCGAAAATGAACCTTTTGAATTTTTGAAACGAGATATTGAAGGTGTTTATTTTTACTTTAAAAATTAAATATTCTGATTTAATGGGGCCGTATTTAAATTATCAACAGTTGATAACCCCCCTCCCTAACAGAAGATGAGAGTAACTATCTTTGATGGAAATAGAGAAGATGGGCCCTGGGACATAGAAAAGATAGGCATTTTTTAATTTTTTTAAAAATTTAGTTTTTTAATTTTTGGAATTATACATTCTTGAATTTAGGTTCTGATTTGGAAACTAGACGGCGCGGTGCATTTGAATTTGTGCAGGCCCTTTGTAAACATTTTGACAACGAATTGTGTGCTCTTCTCTCAAATGTCATTCAGGATTTTCTCGAAAAATACAAACAAAATCCTACGCAAAATTTTGTCTATAAAGATCTTGTTTATTTTTTGGTCAGTGCACTCGCATCGAAAGGGTCTACAACACGAAGTGGAGCAACTGAAACTCGTCAATTGGTTTGATTATAAGTTGATTAATATACGGACCTAGCTAGATTACATATGATACATGAAATGTGTTGAATCTTAGATTTGTGTTGTTTTAGAAGCTCCATCCATTAGTATTGGTTGTATTTTATAGTGAGATCCGACTGTATATGTAATGTCTGTCAAAATGCTATCTGCAGTTTCCCGCATTTTGGATTTTTCTAAGCGATCTCAGGATTAATCCTGCAGCTCGTAAATCAAGGAAGCTAGGGATCCAAACCTCTAATATAATTTAAAATATCAATAATTCCTTTTAGATTGATTTAAACCATTTTTATCAACAAAATGTCCGACCTGATTTGCTCTTTGGTTCAATAAATGAATTGCCAATTTTACGTTGTGATGCACTTAAATATTTAGTGCTCTTTCGCAATCAACTCAGTACTGATCAAATTATTGAATGTTTTCTTGGAGAAAATTGTCAATTTGAAACTTCAATATTTCGTTTTCTTTCTTCTAACCATTTTATATTACATCATTATGTAGCTTATGCAATTGAACGTTTAATTCTAATGCGAGTACAAAACTCTAAGGATTTATTGTTTACGGCTTCAAATTTTCAACTTTCATTGGTTATCGATAGACTTTTTAATTGTTTAAATTCTCCTCAAGGATATGAGACTCATTATATTATGAAAGCTTTGATGCGATTATTTGTTGTCATGGATGTAATATTTTAATATTCTCTTAATATTTAAATTTTTTTTTATTAAGGATGAATTGTCACGTTCCAGTGCTCATATTTACTTAGGCAAACTCTCCCAAATTGTTGCTGATGCTATACGAGTACCTAAAAACCCTGTACTTGTTCATTTTCTTTTTGAATCAATTTGTGTTATAATTAGAAAAGTAAAAGAAACTTTTTTGTAAAGAAATCTTAAAATTTTATTTAAGGCTTATGTCAAGGTTGAAGGAGGTGTGGATAAATATATTATTCCAATGGTTGAGTCAATAATTCAAAATGATGTTGCTGAATTTAAACCTTATGCTTTTCAACTTATTGGTAATTTTTATTTTTCAAATTATTTAAATTCTTCTTTCATTTTCTTAAAAAGCTCTTTTACTTGATCAATGTCAACAAGAACGTGAGAAAAACGCTACAGTGAGCCAAGATGCTTATATTGCTTTCTTTCCCTCACTTTTACGTCCTGACTTTTGGGCACGTTCGGCAAATGTTCCTGCTCTGATTTTAGTTTTTGAGTCTTTTATTCGTTGTCTGCCACAACTTCCTTTTGGTTCTGAATATTCTGATCAAGTTTTAGCAATTTTTCAGCGTCTCATTGCTTCAAAAGCTTATGATCAACAAGGATTTCGTTTAGCAAATGCTTTGCTTCCGCACTTGGATGTTAGTTTATAATGTTTTTAAAACTTTTATATTAACACTAAGCCCTTCAAGACCTAATGCTATATACAACACCTTGATTTAAGCTTGTGTTGGGAGGATGTCTAAATGATACCCTTTATTTAAGATACACTTTATTATAACACAATACTTTTAGCCCTAAGGTGAACTGTTATTTAATTTTTTAGACATACGAAAAAATGACCAGCAGTGCTGTTTTTCTTGCCATGTTAAATCGAATGCATCAAAACAAGACAGCTAAATTCTCAAAACAATTCACCATTTTTATATTTCGTTATTCTGCTATAAAAGGAGGATTGGCATTAGCTAATGTAAGATATATTTTTTTGAATTAGAATTTTTTAATTCAGAGTCTTGAACAAATTCAAACGGGTATTTATAATATGATTGTGGAGAGAATACTTTTGGCCGAATTAAAAGGAATGCCACAGACTACAACATATGAGGAGAAAAGAATTATTGTTATTGGCGCCGCTAGATTAATTTCTGAAACAATTCAAGTACTGGGGTGAGTTAATTTTTATCGAGTCTAACCCTAGTTATGTCCGCATTTGGAGAAAGAAACATATTACGTCTAAAATCAAAATTTACACTTTTTTAGGAACAATTATTCTTTGATAATTGAAGTTATTGTTAATTTACTTGAGGCTTTTGAACACAAACCTAAATCATTAGATACTGAAGTGCCTGAAGATGGAGAAGTAAACGATATGGAATATAATGATCCTTACTGTAAATTAATGAATGCCCAGCACAATGAACCTTTTGCTGCTGAAGTGATTAACATTAAAAGTAAGGAATAAGATAAGATACTCTTTGGTCTTGAAAAATGTATCAGAAAAAATTTTTCCGAATGGGAACTATTTAGACAATAATTATTAAATTTTTATTTCCTAATGGGATTTGTAGATTTAATTATTTTATATAAACTATTTATTTTTCAGAGCACTTTGCACAGGCAGTCTTTATGGCTACTCAAAGCAATCCTGAAAGTTTGGGATGTCTGAATGCGCGTTTATTAAGCTGTCTTCGTGCCTATTCGGCAATGATTTAAAAAAGAATAATTGAATTGCATATTTACTTTACAATTTTCTTGTTAATAGTATTAGACTGGAACGAAATTTCAACATAATTTTTAAACAATATTTGAGATTATTTACGAGTTTTTTTGATATTTTATATTTATTTTTGCGATTTTTTTGTGAAATAATTAAATTTATAAAACTTCGATTTTCAACGAAAAATATAAGAAAAAAGCTTAAAATTTAGGTCATTTACACAGTTCCTCTCCTTTCTTTTTCTTAGAATTTGTGAATTACAAAATGGCGCCGCCCCATAAGGAGGGGGATGAACAATGATCTATCTAATGTGTTTTAAAAACGAGAAATCTCTTCTTGTCGATCCAATCGATCGCTCAAAATGGCAAGCAAATTTTAGGATATTCTTTGACATTTAACTTAAAAAAATTTTTTATCTTGTTTGATATTTAGAGAGGCTAAGGCAAACTATTTTATATTTAAAAATTAAAAAATGTTTGCCTCGGCTACAGCTATCAATCCCCGGCTTCAATTAAGTAAATCTAGCCGATTAGGCGTTGGTGAGAGACTTGGTGATTTAACTGCGGAAGCATTCAGAGCCTATGGAGCTTTCGTTGGAAGGAATCCCGGAAAGGTTAAAAAGAAAATTTCTAAAAAATATCTATCGCTTTCAATTTGAGGTTCTCATTGCGATGCTCCTTTTTACAATTTTAACAGTACCAGGAATTGTTTACTTGCAAATTAATTTAGATCTTTACAAAGTGAGTAAAAAGTTAGATAATTAACATATTATGGGCTAGAGGTATATCGAAATTTATTTCCCGAAGGGCTACAGTCAATGAAAAATGAGGGAAAAGGAGAAGCTGATATGTATAACCTTGTTATGGACCTCTCTGTTTTTTATGATATTCAAAGGGGAATTTGTTATTTCTTTTTTAAACAGTTATTTGTTCCTTTGGATGCTCCAGTCCGATTTGAATTTGAAAGTCAAAAAGCTTATGACCAAATTCCAGGCGGGCAATTAGATGTTGACCCTCCTCCATCTTTAATTGCCACACCTCATTCAACACAAATTTCTACCCAACAAACAGCTAATGAATTAAAAGATATTCCGAGAAGATTTGCACGTGCAGTTAAAGTAAAAGGTACCTAAAAGTTAATTTTTACATAAAAGAATAATTATTTGAAGATCCTTCTGGCCCTCAACATCACGATATTCTACGTTTTTATGTTGTCCATAAAAGATATGAAAATTTATTAGTTAGTGACACTTTGGCTAAATTATTTGAATATACACAGGAAATGATGAATGTTAAAATGGAATGGGGTGGAGAACAAGTAAAAAATTAAATCTAATTTAAGATTTATTTTTTAAATTACCTATACTCCTCTAACACTAAATTTTACTAAAACATTAAAGTTAAAAAAAAGCAAATATGAGAGGGTTACGAAAATTTTTGTTAACTGGGCAGGAAAGAATCAGAAGGGACGGATAAAACGATTAATACCAAAATATTTTTTACCTAACAAAAGATATATCCATTTAATTTTTAGTGGATATTGGAAGATTTTTGTCGGAAAAATCCAGGCCAAGAACATTGCAATAATGAGTTAGTTATGATTAAAGTTCAAATTAAAGTCTCTCAATTAAAGTTTAAATATTTGGTTAAAACACGCAGAGAATTTATTTAGAACTAATGGAACTAGAAATAATCCAAATCTTCAATTATCTTATCCTGTTATGTCTGTTTTGAAATTTAATTTTTATAAAATTTAATTTTTTAAAGGTATTTATTTAATCGACCAAAGGATATTGGAAATATTATTTATGGGGTAAGGGGAAATATTTTTGAATTGTTTTTATTTTTAATAGGAATATTAGGATGTAACTTTATTTCTTAAGAGAGAGAATTTTTTTTAAATATTTTAGGAAAGAAGGGAAATCCAATTAGGTAGTTAACATTTGAAAAATGTTTTCTGGAAAAAGGGCTTAAGATCTGTTTAAAGATGTTCTGGAAGCTTAAATCATCTAGCAATAATTAGAGACTTCCCAGACTTTTGGTCTTGAGTCTTGACTCAAGACTTTTCTTGGGGTTTTTGGTCTTGATCTTGGGGTGAAGTCTTGAGTCTTAAAAAATTTCCGGTCTTGGAAGTCTCTAGCAATAATTTCCTGGAAGTTCAATGCCTGCCAGGGGGATTAATCTCTTCCTCTCTCTCTTCACTTTAATTTACATATTTTTCCTTTCTTTAAAGGTAAATGTTACTGGAATAAAACACGAAATTGTTGGGGCAAGAGTTTTAACAATTCATTGGGTTTTTTAAATTAATAAAAAAAATATTTTTTTAATTTAAAAAAAGTTTATAACATTTCCAAATTCTGGCGATAATTTGGCTGCTTATTATCGTTATAGAGACAATTTAAATGGATTTTGGGATACAAAAACTAAAGTAAATATTTAGAAAAAAGAAAAGAAAAAATATTTATTTTTTAGGAATCAGACATTAAATTTATTCCACACAAGTTTGTTTAAAAATAAATAAAAGTAAGGGGATTTGGGCCCTCCATACAATATAACTCTTAATCTTGATTTATTAGAGCCTAATAATTAGAATTAAATGCTAGACAACATTTTGTTTTATCAATGATAAATAGTAGAGATCAAGATTTTTGAAAAGCCTGGACCTGTTCATAGACTCTGGAGTTTGATTTATTGACCTGGGCCGGATCCTGGGCTTGTAGTCCAGGAAAAACCCAGGAAGGTCAAAAAATGTCTGGACTTGGACTCTGGGTACAGGAAAAACCCAGGCCTTGTTCCAGATCCAGCTCGATCTCTAATAAATATAATAGTTTACTAGACATTTTCCCCTCCCTTCACTAAATTGTTAACTAAAAATAAAAGAAATATTATTTCTCAAAATTTTAATTTAAAGTGAAAAAGCAATGGATGACGAATTAAGATTAATAATAGAAACAGCAATCCCTTTTGTTTTGCCGGCAACAATTCAATTAATGTTTTTTGTTTATTTTACTAATTTGGCTAAAGATGTTAGAAAATCAAAACCTGTTGAAGCTTTTTTTGGTGTTATAAGTGTTTGCCTTAGTTTAGGGGCTACTTTTGGGTAAGTAAAAATTTAATAGAAAAATTGTAAAGAGAAGGAAAAAAAGTTGTTTTTATAGACTTTTCCTCTATTTTCTCTCACTCGATTTTGCCAAAAAAAATAAAAAAAAATTATTCAGAAAGCTCTTAGAAGTGGATATTTAACATTACATTGGTTCATCTTCTAATATTTTCAAAATCTTCGGAATTCCTCTCTTTACATAATTTTTTAAAAATAATTTTACTTTTTTAATTAATTAATTAATTTTTTAAAGAATTATTTTCTTTGCCGGAATTCCATTTAATCCTGTTTGTTTTTTAAATAAATTTTAAAAAATAATTGTTTCGCTTTTTTAGGTTTCGAGCACAATGCCTTTTTTAATTCTTGCAGGTTAATTATTTTTTTAAAGCCGGCAACCTTTTTTTTTAAATTCTTTATATATTTTCGAGAAATTATTCTCCAAAAATTCTTTCAAGAAAATAAAAAATAACTAAAAATCTTTTATTTTTTTAGTTGGAGTTGATGGTTAGATTATTTTACAAAAATAATTATTTTTATTTATTTCTCTCTCAAAAAAGATGCTTTTTTATTGCTTGGTGCTTGGAGAATGACAGACCCGAGGTGGTCTTTAGAACGTCGAATGGGGGTTACAATGAGTGATGCTGGGGCTTCGATAACTGTTACCTCTTTAACTAATTTTGGATGCTTTGGTAAATTAATAGAGATATTTGGGGGGAGGGGGGGGGGAGGAAGGGTTTTAAAATTGAGGGGAAGTATCTCTTAAGTAGGGTTGCCAAAATGGACCGACTCGAACCGAAAGATCGAGTCATGCCTCGATGTTTGGCCCGAAAAAGTCTCGTACCGGCCCGACTCGATAAATTTGGGCCCGAAAAAGACTCGTAACGGCCCGACTCGATAAAGTTAGGCCCGAAAGTGACTCGTACCGGCCCGACTCGATAAAAACATGCCCGAAAAAAATTGTCTCGGAAAAAGACGGCCCGACTCGAACGAGTCTCGATAATATTTTTGCCAGATTTGTGGACAAAAATGGATGAAATCTGGCTCCTTGGCCTTCCAAAATTCGAAAAATTTTCGCCTGCGGCGCTGAAAAAGGAAGAAGTTTGGTCCTTAGCCTTCCGAATATCTCAAAATTTTTGCCTGCGGCGCTGAAATGAAAGATTTTTAGCTCCATACTTTGCTTCACATCTCGGACTTACTGGCTTTAATTGATAAGCTGGATTACTGGGAGTTATGGTATATATTCCGCGGGATCCCGTCATAATTTGAACTTTTGAACCTCAATCAGTTTTGAGAGTCCACAATTTTCCGCAGTCCGCAATTTTAACTTTAAAATACGCAGTCGCAATCTTCAGTCCACTAGTATTCCATTTATAGCGCCGCAGGCGAAAATGGTCGAAAAAAACTTCGACCATTCTTCTACTAATTTTTTCCCCCTTTCCCCTATTTCGGGGGGGGGGGGTGGCTCTAGCAGCGCCACTGGACACGCCCTTGGATTAAGTGTACGAGGAATTTATTAAGTGTACGAGAATCAAGGATACGAGGAATTTTAGCATACAGCGGGATTTTATTAAGGGATTTGGTGATTAACGCACGATATACCTTCAAATCTCCTCATTCCTTCTAAATCCCATTACAAAATATCACCTTAATCATCTGATATACGATCCTGAACCCCTTAATCATCTGATCTCCTTTAATAAAACCAAATCTAGCAATATCTCACCCCAATCCTCCGGTAATTTAAATCACCTTAATCCCTCAAATCCACTGATATCCATTTCAATTCTCTTCAGCCCTTCCTTTACCCTCCTGATCCATCGATATACCTTTTAATTCACAGATATCCCTCCTAATCCACTAATTATTTTTAAATAAATCTTATAAAAAAAGACTCGAAAATGTCTCGGTGCCCGACTCGATAAATTTAGGCCCGAAAAAGACTCGTATCGGCCCGACTCGATAAAGTTAGGCCCGAAAAAGACTCGTATCGGCCCGACTCGATAAAGTTAGGCCCGAAAAAGACTCGTACCGGCCCGACTCGATAAAAACAAGCCCGAAAAAAAATGCCTCGACCGTCGGCCCGACTCGAAAACGGCAACCCTACTCTTAAGCAATCCTCCCTTCCCTTCCTTTCAAAAATGGAAGGGATAGTTGAGGGGACAAACTGTTGGACAAACAATTAAATATTGAAAAATTATTTTTATTTTTTTCACTATAGCTCTCGGTTATTTTTTATCTCCAACCCCTGCAGTAGCTGATTTTTGTATTATGACAGCTGTGGGTGTTGCTATGGATTATTGTTAAGTTTTTTAAAAAATAAAATATTTAGTTGATATTTTCGGACATTCTCTTTTTATTTTTGTGAATCCTCAATATTAAATTTATTTTCAAGTTTATCAAATAACCTTTTTTGCCTCAATAATGGTTTATGGAGGAATGCGTGAAGAAAAAGGGGGAATGGCTGCTTATTTTAAGTAAATAAATATTTTTAAATAAATTTATTTATTTAAAGATGTTGTAATAAAAATTTGCAAGAAAATAATAAAGAAATTGAAAGAAAAGTTGAGGAAGAAGAAGAGGAGGGAGATAATAAAAGAAGATTAACTGATGAACTACATGAACGTAAATATTTTTTAAATTAGGGAATGCCCACAATTGGGTACACCTCGAGGTACTGTCGAGGGTATAACTTCGTTCAAAATTATCGAATCTACCCATACTGGGGCGTCCCGGATTCGATAATTTTGAACGAAGCTATACCTTCACAGTATCCTACCCTCGCGGTAACCTGGCCTGCTCCCATCTACAATCAACGAAAAATTAATTTTTAAACAATCCAAAATTAAATTCTAAAAATCATTAAAAACACAAAAAAGTTAATAAAATTTAATAAATAAACAGTTAAAATTAAAAATAAATTTTTTAAAATAAAGTTTTTTGATAATTAAAAAGGCGCACAGGAATATTTTGTTATTAATTTTGAGGGAGGGGAATTAGGGGAAAGGACTGTTAATTGTAAAATTGTGGATAGAGAGGAGGAGGAGGAGAGGGGAATAATTAATTAAATTAAAAAAAATTCATTTAATTTTCTTTTAAAAGCAACAATAATGCATCGGTTTTTTAAAGAACATTTTGGGCCTTTTATTCTTAAAAAAGAAATTAAATTAATTAGTTGGCTAATATTTTTATTATATATTTGTTTCTCTTTTTATGGTTGTGTGAATATGAAAGTTGATATTTCACCTAAAGTATTTAAAAAATCTTTTTAGAAATTTAAAATTTAAATTTTAAAAAAGAAATATATTAGAGATAATTCTCCAATACAAACTTTTGTTTATTTGGCTGGTAAGTTTTTTAAATAAATTTATTTTTTCAAAATAATATTGGGAAGGGCGAGGGGAGGAGGGAGGGTCGGTTATGTCGGTTAGACTCACTGATACCTGATACCAGGGTGTTTAATCGACATAAAAAGCTCTGATTTTCGGGAATCGGGTCGACTAGACCCCCCTCAACTAGCCAGACCCCCTTCTCCCTCCCCCTCCCTCCTTTACCTATGTAAAATAATTATTTATTCTAATAACTTCACTCTCTTCCCTTTTTTTGTAGATAAATATATTTGGGCAGATAATGTAATGCCAACAATCCATATAATGGACCCTCCAGATTTTAGAAATTCTTCACAGAGGGCTAAATTTAATGAAATGGTTTTTAGATTAGAAAATACAAATTTCAGTATTGGGAGAGTTTCGACTAATTTATGGGTAATTTTTAAAGAGAGTTTAAAATATTTTTATTTTAAATAGTTATGGGAATATCAATCATATTTAAATGATTTTCCCCAAGTTATTTATGAAAGAGATTTTTATAAACGTTTTCATCTTCGAAATTTCTTTTCTCAATTTGATTATCAGCAATTTAGAGGTAAAAATAAAAATTAATTAATTAAACGTCCCCAATATACCCCAAATAATTAGATACCTATATCTCAGAGTTGCCAAAAACCTTTTAAAAATGAAAGGCGAGACACAGAAGGTGAAACATCAAAAAAGTCAAAAATTAACGAAAAAAGGAAGGGAAAACGGTGCCCCCGTGATACACCTCCTCTATTCAGTGTTTGTTCAAAAGTTCAATTTCAGTACCTTTGAACTTTCGATTTCCGATTTTTGAATTTTTTTTATTTCGAAACAGCTCTCATGATAAGATATACAAAATTATAGCGAGATATCCTGAACTTTAATTAATTTATAAATAAAAAGGAATGGTTAAAATCAGAGATGATGTACCTGATGGGGAACCTTGTATTAAAGCTTTTACTTTCCAAACAAGTTTTTATGGGTTAAATTCTTGGGAAAAACGTCAAACAGAACTTTTTCGTTGGAGAAGAATTTTAAATGAATATCCAGAAATTAAAGCTTTTTTGGCTGGAATATTTTCCCCTTTTTTAATTGATCAAAGAAAAACTATTGCTCCTTCCTCTATGCAAGTATTTTAATTAAAAATAAAAAGAAAATAATTTTTCTAAAAAAAAGTCTGTTGGTTCTGCAGTAGCCGTAATGACTTTAATTTCTTTATTTTTTCTTCCGGATAAACAATCTGTTTTTGTTATGTCCTTTTCTTTAATTTCAATTTCTATGGGTGTTTGTGGATTTCTTTGGTAAATTTTTTGTATGGAATTTAAATTAAAATTAATTTTTCTTTTTAGTCTTTGGGGGTCTGAATTAGATTCTGTCTCTATGGGATGTTGGTTTTTTTTTAAATTTTTATTTAAATTGGTTTAAATAAAAATATAGTAGTAGATAATCCACAGTTGGTGTCCACAGATTTTGTAATCTTAGAGGAGTCCGAAAAATCATGTGGGGGAAATCACTAAATCGCGACAGTGATTAACAAATAAATAATTACAAAAGATTACAAACCGAATGACTGACTACCGTTAGAATATTAAAGACAGGACAGAAATTTAATTTAAAAATTTTGGATATAGAAGTCGGTAGTTAAATATGTACATAACCGAAACAAATACTTAGCTAAAAACGAAAAAAATAACTAAAAATATATTTAAAAGGTATTATAATGGCTATAGGTTTAGCAGTTGATTTTTCTATCCATATTTGTTATCGTTATCATCGTTGTTCCTCCTCGATGACTGCTGAGGTTATTTGAAAAAAAATAATTTTTAAAAATAATTTTCTTTAGCAAAAAGTAATTGAAACACTTTCAATTGTTGGGTAATTAATTAATTTTTAAATAAAATTTAAATTTAATATTTTTTTAGATATCCAGTTTTACAAGCTGGGGGGTCTACTTTATGGGCTATGACTACTCTTCCTCTTGTAATTTTTTTCTAAATTTAATTTTGAATTTTTCGTCAATCCCTTTTTCTGATAAATCCAAAACTCCCCTGAAATTGTTTTTATTTAAATTCTCCAAAAGTTAAAAATTTTTACTTAATTTGTTTCCATTAATTAACAATGAAAATTTTAATGTAGCACAAAAAGGGGAATTAGAGAAAAGAAATTTTTTTTTAAATTATCCAAAATTTTATTTAAATTTAGATTCCTGCCTATCTAGTTAGAGTGTTTTTTCAAGTAATTTTATAAAAATCAAAAAAAAATTTTTAATTAAATTTTTTTTAAGACAGTTGTTTTGGTTAATATATTTGGACTTTTACATGCTTTAGTTAATTTTAATTAATTTATTTAAATTTAAATTAATTAAAGGTTTGGTTACCACAATTTATTTCTGCTTTGGATCCTTTAGAAAGAATACGTAAAAAAAACTAATTTTTTTAAAATTATTTTTAAATAAATATTTTTTAAGCTCGAAGAATTCGCCATCCACACAGTCAATAAATAAATTAATTTATTCAAAATTTTTTTAAATTAAAAAAAAAGAATTTTTTTCCTCGATTAATTGCGCCTATTCAAATTTTTTTTTGCAAGAATTTTATTTTTAAATAAATATTTTTTCTGGTATTTTCATGTTATTCTCTTTAGTATATAATAAAGCTTTTATTAAATATTCACAATTGTCGCTTTACTTAAAAAAAATTATTTTTATCAATTTTGATTATTAAAAATTTTTATAAAAATATTTAAAAGATATTTTTGTCTATAATCCCCGTAAGCTATTTTTCCAATTAAATTAAAAGGGTTTGAAAATAAATAAATATTTATTTAAATAGATATTTTATTATATTCATTTTATATTCACAATTTTCATTTAAAAAAGTAGAGATGGAAATATTTTTACAGTAATATTTTTGAAATTATTTTTCTTCAAAAAGTTAATTTAAAAACTCATGTTGACTTGTTTAATTCCCAACAGAGATTTCCGACAGTTCCAATTTTCGGCAATTTCGTCATTTCCGATTCACCTCTGATTCCCAAATACAGTCATCGACATAAAGATAGGGGCAAAAGTAACAGAAATAAAAATTAACTATTTTCTGAAATTTTGTTTATGATTAACCTACCCACAATTTAAAGCCTCCGATTATTTTCCCTCTTTTTCTTTTAAATTTAATTAAAATTTTTTTTTCTCTTTGTTTATAATTAATTAATTTTCTTTTTTTTTATTAAAATATTTTAAAAAGTAATTCAATCATTTTCCGGATGTTTCTTTTATTTTAAATGGGCAAATAATTTTTTACAAAACTTTTTAAAATAAAATAAAAAAGAGAGAGAAAGGATGTGTGGTGCGCGAATTCTCCCTCCCCTTCCCTTCCCTCTCCCTTCCCTTCATTCCCCCTCCTCTCTTCTTTTTTCCCTCAAAAACCTCCTTTTTCCCTCCTCTCAATTCAACAACCCCGTTCCACATAAACAATTAAGAACAAAGAAATTAAACAAATAAATTTATATGAAAAGGAGGAAGGAAGAATTTTTAACTAAAAAATGTTAACAACTATCAATTGCCACACATTTTTCATTTTTATTATTTTTTCCTCTCAAAGGCTGGGTAATTAAAAGAAATTTTGGGGTCATTAAGATGAAGGGGATCTTTGGCAAGAAAATTGTTAATTAAATATAGTTGGGGACCTTATTAAAGACTTTTCTCAATCTCAAGCTTATAAAAAGTCTACATCACTTTCAGGCAAATTTTGTATCTTTATTAAGCGTATACCTAAAATTAAGGTTCGAGCATTCAAAGCTTGAGAGTTTATAAAGATCCTTCGGTTTGATTCCTCAGTTCGTTTTGGATACCCAAACGATTTCTTAAAGCCGACAACCCTTCTTATCAGACATTTTTATCAGACCCTCTCTTACAAAATATTCTTCCTCCTCCCTTTCCCTTCGCCCTTCTCTTTCTCAATCCCTTTAATTCTCATGCTGGTTTCTCAATCCCCCTTCCTCTTCTCTTTTTTTTATCTTTCTAATAATCCCCCCTCTCGATTGAGATTGAACGAGAATAGACGATTGCGCAATTCTATTTATTTATTTATTACCACACCTCCCCACATCCTCACTTCCCCCCCCCCCCCCCATTCCCCCTCCTTTTTTTAATAATTTTTAAATTTCCCCTTTTCTCAAAAGCATTTCATTTTTTAATTTTTGAGATTGTCTTTCTCCATTCATTTTCTTTTTAACATTAAATCCGCTTTTTCAAAGCTATAGTAAATTAAAAATATGAAAATTTTATTTTTTGCCGGAATTATTACTGTTTTCGTTATTGGCATTCAAGGCGGAGGTGAAAGTGTTGTTGGAATTGGTTAGAAATTTTAAATAAGATAAGGGTTGCATTTTTCGATTGACCCAAATTCGATGTCTGACGGCAGATGGAAGCTACTTTTAGTCTAGTTTCTGAATATTGATATAATCAGGATATATAGGTTGATTGTATGCATTAAACCTTGAGATAACGTTTGTTAATTGTAAAAACCAAATCCCCCTCCACATTTATCTACATATTTGTATAAATTTTGTGTTTATTTGTTTGAAAATTATTTTTTCCTTTAAATTAGGATCAGCTGAAAAAACTACAAATTCTTCCTCAAAAGTTGATGGAGGTGGTGATGTTAGTTCTGAAAAGACAACTGCGGCCTTCTCTTCTGGAGAGCTTTCAACATCAACAATGCCAAATCCTCCTCCCCCGGCTGCACATCCAAATTCTGGCGAATCACCTTCTGAGCAAAAAGTAAGCTCACAATCTGCTGAGAAAGAAAAACCAGAAGAAAATAATAATAAAGCTCCTTCAACTAATGCAAAGGTAAATAAATTGACAGAAGATAGATTTTAAAGAAAACTGCAATATTTTCTCTTTCATAGGATATGTCTTCTGGCACCGGTGGAAGTGGAACGGGTACTACAAGCGCTGAAGGTTATCACAAAATTTCTATTTGGCTTAATAATTAGAATTAAGTACGAGACTTTAGGTCTTGATCAAGCCTACCCGGAGCAAAACTTATTTCTTCATCAATAAAAATCCAAAAAACTATATAGTTTTCCTGTTTCCCTCTCAAAAAAGGGAGGCGGATATGGGAAGTATAAAGAAAAGTTCTCATTATAATTTTTAGTTGGACATTCAAGCAGTGAACAACCACCAAACGGAGCAGGCCGATCATCACAACTTCTTGGCTGGTTAACTTCTTCAGTTTTGGTATTGCTTGCATGGGCTACGACTTTCTGAACGCGAGGAAACGAATTAAATTTTTCTCTAAAATCAAAAAAAGTCTCTTTTCCTTTTATGCTCTCTCTCTATTTTAGATTATATTTAAAATTATTTAAATTTAAAAATAACAAAACGGTGATATAACAATTTTCCTTTCATTATATTTTAAAAGATAAAACGAAATTCATCAAAATTTTATTAATTTGAAGTTTTTATTTACAAAATAAAATCAGGTTTCAGGAATAATTGGACATCACTTTAAGATACACACTTATTAGTGATGAACAAAACTGTATATTTTGAGATGTTTATCTCCTCATCCAGTGGGCAACCAATTAAAAAAATAAATAAAGTATAAGTATCTCAAAGTGAGGTCTGAATGTATAGTTGCAATAGAAAAATAACAGAAAATTGAATACAGTTAATAGGATGAAAAATTAGACGGACAATCAGCACCGTAAAGTATAAAATAAAGATCACTCAAATAAATACGCACCCGTACTTCCTAAAAGAGTTTAAATTTTAATTAGCAAGGTCTATTCTACTTACAGTAGCAGGATTCGAAATAATTGTCCAAATTGCATGGCATAATCGTTTTGTGTTTAAAGGATACATTGCTGCACTATAAAGGAGAAATTATTTTTGGTACTTGTATATTAATATTTTAATTTTTACTTGTCAGTATGTTCAAAAGGTGGCTGAATACAAAGTCTATGTGCAAGTGAATAACGAATATAAGGATTTGGATCAGTAATTACAACATCAACTAATCTAAGAATTGTACCAACAAATGATTGAGATCTACTTCTTCTAATCATTGCAACAATACAAGCTAGTGCAGTAAAACGAAGCTGAAATAAATAACAGGCTTAAATAAATAAAGAATAAAATTACCGGAGCATAAACATTTTTAGATAATCCAAACTTCCAAAAAACTGAAAAATAAAATTTTTTTAAAGAAACAATAAATTCAAAAAGGGAGCAGGCTAATCTACCCTAAACGTAAAAATGTCAGGTAAAACCGGTTGTCGTTATTGGGACTGGCAAGAAATTCTTTTTCAAACTCCAACCTTCTGTATCCTGAGGAATATGATGACAACGTTGGAGCTAAAAAAATTTAACAGAATTAAAAAATCTTTTTAAATTTACCTCATAAAGTACTTGTAAACAATGCGTACTAACAATCCTTTGAAAACTTGGTTTCATCATATCCATATTTAAAGCATGAGTAATTTCTTCCAAAACACTACTTGCATGTAAACTCATTTCTTGAGGTGTTTCTATTGGATTTTCTGACATTACAAGGGTTTTTCCAAGAGCATGAATTAAAGAACCTCTTTGATAATCATCAGAATAACTTTTTTAAATAATAAAAAAATTAAAGATAAAGGGTTAAAAAATCTTTAAAACATTCGGGAATGTTCTATTCTAGTGTTTTCGAATATGCTAAACTTGAGTCAGCTATCTTATAGTAGGGTTAAAGAAATATATAAATTTTTACCGATTCATCGAATTATCATTAAGCCTAATTAAACCCAATAAAAATTCAACAATATAATTTGGACAATATTTTCTCCCTTCTCCACGAATTGAGCCAAGAGCTGATGGCAAAGACTTTAAAATATTTTATTAAATTTACTAAAAAATTTCTACTTGGAAAAGAAAATAATTTTGTAAATTTGAAGAAGTAGCAACATAATTATTTGCTTGAATAATATCTGGGCAAGTTTTGCAACAAAAACTTTGTCTGATATAATCAATAAGTGGAGGAGATTTACCTAATTGACTGTCTGGAAGACTGTTGTAAATATGTACAAGACAAAATGCTGCTTCTTTTCGTATTCTTAAAAGGAAAGTAATTAGTATTAAAAAGAAAATTTCCATCTATTTTGGCATTAAAATTGGTACTGATTCTTCATTATTCCTCCCCCCTCCTCCATTCTTTTAATAGTATCCAAAAAAAATTAACTACCTATAGTAGTGTATAGTAGGGTTACGTCGGGGGATTAGGAGGGGATTAGGAGGTGATGTCGGGGGGCGGCACCCTTTGAAGGATTAGTGTGGGTTACGTCGGGGGATTAGGAGGGGATTAGAAGGGATTAGGGGGCGATGTCGGGGAGCGGCATCCTTTGAAGGATTAGCAACGGATTAGGAGGGTATGTCGGGGGTGGGGCGGCACCCTTTGATGCGCTCCCGACAAAATTTTCCTCTTCTTTTACAAGGGGAGGGGTCCGACAAAACCAAAAGGGAGAGGGAATGCCGCGGTAAAAATCAAAAGGATAAGTGGGCGAGGAGGGCCAGACAAAAGAAGATAGTATGTATATGAGTAAATCAAAAGAATGAGTGGGCGAGGAGGGCCAGACAAAAGAAGATAGTATGTATATTAGAGGGAGTAAATCAAAAGGATAACATGTGTAGTAGTTTGTAAGTGGTACTAATTATGTAATTAACCATATGATACGTGGGATCCACTCAAACAAAGGGTGTAAGAGTGTTTCGGCTAAAATTCTTTGATCTTTCCGCTTAAATCCTATGGATGTAGGGGTTTCGGAAAATTTCATTGATAATTTGTATGATCAATTAGCACTATTAATTTGTTCTTCCCCTCTCCTTTCCTCCTACTCCTTTCCTCTCAATTCCACTCCACTACTCCTCTTCTCTACTTTCCTCCTCCTCCCTCCTCATACCACTAATCTTTTCTCATACTACTCTCTCTCTCCTCTCCTACTTCTATTCCTCTTCCCTTTTCCTTTCCTCCTACTCCTCTGCTTCTCTCCTTTCCTCCAACTTCCACTCCCCTACTCCCCTTCTCTCCTTTCCTCCTCCTCCCTCCTCATACCACTACTCTTCTTTTCTCATACTACTCTCTTCTCCTCTCCTACTATTATTCCTCTTCCCCTCTCCTTTCCTCCTACTCCTCTGCACCTCTCCTTTCCTCCAACTTCCACTCCCCTAATCCTCTTCTCTCCTTTCCTCCTCTCCCCTCTCATTTCCTCCTACAACTCTTCCTCTTCTCCCACTACTACTCCTCTTCCCCTCTCCTTTCCTCCTACCCCCGCTCCTCTCCTTTCCTCCTACTCTCATGCTCCTTTCCTTTTACTCCCCGGCTCCTATGTATCCTTTCCTCCTACTCCTCTATTACTCTCATTTCATCCCCTCCTTTTCTCCCATTTTTTTACACGTCAAATCCTTTTGCAAAAATACAGTATACAATTAATTCAAGAAAAATTTGAAAAGATTTTTTAAACGTTTTGGTTAAAGATTGAGAGAAGTGAAATTTAATAAAATTTTTTAAATATAATTTTTATTGTTTTTACATTGAACTAAATTTTTTATAAAAATTTGTGCAATTTTAACGTTTAGAAGTAGTAAATTTTAGGGAGAAAAGTGCACAATTAAGAGTTAAGAAAAGCAATGAGCATAATTACCGTTTAGAAGTTGTTGATTTTAGGGAGAAAGGTGCACAATTAAACATTAGAAATTGCAAAATGCAGTTTACAGTTTGAAATAGGTGATTTTGGGGGAAAAAGTGCATATTTTAACAAAAGAAAATACAAATTTTAAATTTTTTTTAAATCAAAGGGTGTGCGCGTGTTTAGGGTATGCGTGTGTGTTTTTAGGGTGTGCATGTGTGTTCAGAGCATGCGTATGTTTTTTAAGGGGCGTGCACGTTTGGAATGTTGTAATCCACTGAAATACGTGGTATAAAAGGAGGGAGATTTTTGACTTTGTATCATTATTCCAAAAATGAATCAAAATTTATTTTCCCAAATTCTCCCAGAAGTAGATTTTAATATCTCCTCGAGTGGAATAACTGTTTTAAGTTCCCGTCTTACCACTCCTCGATTTATTCCTTACGATCAGTCAGGGAGATGTAAGGAGTGTAAGAGTACAGAAGTGGAGATTGACTTTATTGTCACTAAGGAAGGAGTTACTATCTACTGCACACGAATCGGATCAGGTACTAGATTTGTTCCGTTTGATACAGTTTATGATTTACCCACCCATTGCTTTTTCAAAATCAGAAATAAGGGAAGAGTATTCAATGTCCCCCATGGAGTACAACCTCAACAAATTATCCATCAAAATCCAAAGAAAGGGAAAAGGAAATTGGACGAATTGTCTACTCTTGCTCCTCCCCCAAATAGTATGCCTTCACCTCCTCGCCGTGTTACTCCACCTCCTCTCGCTACTGATTTGCCTTCTCCTCCTCACTCTACTACTCCTACTCCTTGCGCTACTCGTTTGCCTTCTCCTCCTCATATTACACCAACTCTTCATAAATCTCCTCCTCGTATTCCCCCAGCAAATGTTTTGCATTCTCCTCCTCTAGTCGATACTCTTCGTCCTGATATATCTCCGGATAATGCAGAGTTAGAGAAGGAGCTCCAAGAATTTTATGATAGTTTAATGGCAGCTACAACAGGAATAACTTCATCTCCGAAGAAGTTAGAAGAGACTGAACAAAAAATGGATGATACAATAAATGCTCCTATATAAACCTTAATTTTTTCTGTAATGTTAAATTTTCCACTTAATATGGAATCACAATCATTTACTAATAAAGATTTGTATTTTAAATTACCCTTTGGTATGATTTTGTCTGGTCCAAGCTCAAGTGGAAAGAGCTCATTCCTTTTAAAATTCATAGCAGACTCCCAAGATTTGATCGATCCCAGTCCAAAAAGTGTACTGTATTGTTTTGGAGAAATGAGTAATAATATTCCTATCCTTCAAAAGTCAGGAGTTAATGTCTATGCAGGAGTTCCCCCAGAAGAGTTAATAAAAAGTTATTCAAAACCTTTACTCTTAATACTTGATGATTTGCTCCTTTCCATAGATGAAAAATATCTTTCGGAATTATTCACTAAAAAGTCCCACCATCAAAATTTTGCAATTGTTTTTGTTACACAAAACCTATTTGAGAAGAAAATCAAGGTCGCCCGCCAAAATGCTCAATATATTATACTTATGCGCTCTCCAAATTCTGCTCTCTCTGTGAGAAATATTGGAGTGCAACTATTTCCACGTCAACTCGATTATTTTTTAGATGCGTATAAACAAGCAACAAATGAACCATACGGATACTTGCTCATCGATTTACATGCCTCATCAGATCCTAATCTAAGACTTAGGACAAACATATTTAAAGACGACGAAGAGAAGATAATTTTCATTTCAAAAAATGTTTAGTCAATTAGTTTGTGAAAATAAGGACTTTTTACGTTTGCTAGCGCTTACAAAATCTGAAAGAAAAACCAAGAAACTTTTACGAAAAGCTGATACTAACCAATTGTTATCAATTGTTGAAATTTGTTTGAATATTTTAAAATCACGTTTTAAACTTACTACTCGTCAGAAAAACCGTTTAATCCCACACGTTGATTTTATTCGTCACATGAGCCGTACTAGGAGTGAACGGGGAGTAAGAAAAGTTTTGAGGCAAAAAGGTGGAGGAATAGGACTATTTTCTGCTCTACTTACTCCTATTCTAATGGAACTTGCTCGAGCAGTTAGTATAAAAGCATATCAAATTAATTCAAATCAGTCTTAAAATGGCAAAAAAATTAATTCTTGTCCCAGAAGAGATTTATAGAGGGCTTACTTCAAATAATTATGGGGACCCAAACTTGGATTTCATCAAAAAAGAAGTTGAGAATGCTAAAAGTAAAAAAGAAAACGTCTCTGCCAAAAATATTCTTTATAACCAAGAACTTAGACGGTATCTGAAATTAAGGAATGAGATTGAAAATAGACCAGTCAAAGTTTAAATGGTGGCTAACTCCAAAGGAGCTATTATGAATAGAGATGTTATTAGACCTGCCTCAAACATTGTAGATGACGAAGATGATGATTTATGGATGAGTGATGATCTTTCCTTTTCCACATACCCAAGGGAGCCTCCAGCCTTATCATATAATATTGTTCCTCCTCTTTCAGATTCTATAAACGAGCAGATAGCCCCAGAAACTAGACATAGAAACTTCTTAAGAGATGGAATTTCACCTACTCCTCCAAACCCTAGACAAAAAATAAAGAGAAAAATCGAGGAGGAAGATTATGGACAAAATAAAAGACAACATTTGATTAATCATAAAAATGAGGCTCGAGATGAGTATATGAAAATTTCTGAAAAGGCTAGGAATAAAATGCAAAAGTTTGAAAGGAAAAAGATGTTGAAAAATTGGAGAATTCCTTATACTCCTGAATATAATACTCCCGGTGATACAGATATTCCTCCATCCCCTCCATCCTCTCCCACACCAATTCTCCCTAATATTCCTGAAGGTTTTGATGCTCCTCTTGTATCAGACACTCTTCCAGCAAGACAAATTACAAAAAGAGGATTGGCAGAAGAGTTTGAAGGTACAAAGAGATGGAAAAAAGGATATGATGAACAAGAAGAATCAAAATTAAAGCGTGAACAGAAAAGAAGAGAATATTTACAAAGAAAAATTAATATTCGAGAACAAAGGCTTCCCATCGATCAAGCAGCGTTACTTAAAACTCGTAAGGACGATGATATGCAAAGACGTCTAAAATTAAAAAGAAAATGGGAAGGTCCAGATGAAAGTCCTCTAATCGCCTTGAAAAAAGTAAAACCTGTCACAAAAATTCAATCAGCAAAAGCAGGTAGAGAATGGATGTTACGACTTATAAAAGCTAAACGTAAAGAATCTGGTATAAAAAGATTTAAACCAACACTTTGGTAAAAATGGCAGACCCACACAGCTATTACATCAACGAACGATGGATGATGGAAGACTTGTACCATTTGCTTATGGTACAGTAAGCATAGTGTTGATATTTAAGAAAGTTATAAACTTTTGAGACTATATAAACCCTCGTTTTATGTTTTTATTATCTTATTATTGATAAAGATGGTTCATGTTCAATTTGATACAAACTCAGTAGGGTACAATTATGTTGTAGAGCAATGTGGGAGTGGTGCAGAAAATTATTATTTTAAGGGAGCATCGCCATACCAGCGTGGATATGGGCAAAGAGGAGCAGGAGTTGGAGATGTAATGAGAGGATTGTGGAGATTTTTTCTCCCTATTTTACGTAGTGTTGGGAGTACAGTATCTTCTGAGGCACTCAACACAGGACAACGTATACTTGAAAGAGTAAATGAAGGACAACCTATAAAAGAAGCTTTTATTAGTGAAGGAAAAAGAGGAATCGATACAGTACTAGAGAAAGGAGGATTGCCAAAACAATTTGGAGTAGGAAGAAAAAGTATAAAAAGGACCAAATTCCCCTCACATCAAACATTTATTAGACAAAAGAAAAAACGTGTAGACGCTTTTGGATTTTATTAAAAATGTCTTTTAAAAAGATTGATAGAGATAGCCTTGACACAATTACAAATGCTGTAGGAATTTTTCAAGTTCCTCCTACCAATGTTACCATTTCATCCTCAAAAACATTTGAAATTCTCCCTAGTAACCCTTTAACAGACACACTTATCATTTTAAAATTCATTCAAGTGAAAATTTTATTGATCTCTCGAAATGTTATCTATTCACTGAATTTCGAATCCGAAAAGAGAATACAACTGGTCAATATGTAAATATTACTCCTGATGAAAATGTTGCTCCTATACAAATGATAGGGAGCACATTTATTAATAATATGAGAATAAGTATAAATGGGCGCGAAATATTCAATTCAAACTCTCTTTATGCCTATAAGACTTACTTTTCCCATGAGCTATCTTATTCGTTAGGAGCAAAAAGTTCTCATTTAAATTCCGCAGGCTATTATTACGATTCAGGTGTATCACAAGAGTCCGGAGCAAGTTTTAATTCAAGAAAAAATTTGTTTGTTAATAGCCGAACAGCACAATTTATTTCAAAACTTGATGCTGATCTTTTCAATCAGCCTCAATACTTGGTAAACCATTGTGAGGTTGATATAGAAATTTTGCCCAATGAACCAAAATTTATTCTCATTGCTCCTCTTCCTGTCGGAGCTCAACCTACTCGTTATATTTTCGAAGTGATAAGTTGTAAGTTATATGTAAAAAAGCTGGACTTGATGGATGGCCTTGCTCTAGATATTGCCAGAAGACTTGACGTTAATCCTGCTCGATATGCAATTAGAAAAACAATGATGAAACCGTTATTTATTAGTCAAGGAAGATATGAATTCAATGCAAATCTTTTTATGGATCAAATCCCCCGTCGTGTTACCTTAGGATTAGTTGCAAACTCTGACTATGTAGGGACACAAGAGCGGAGCCCTTTCAATTTTCAACCTTTTAGAGTTAGAGAAATTAGTATTATTGCAAATGGACGCTCATATCCACAATCTCCATATGATTTTGACTATGGTTCAAATCGGTATGTGAGAGCGTTTCATGACATGAATGATGCTATAGGATTTTCTGGTACACCAGATAACAATGGGATAACATATCTGCAATATGGGCGAACCCACTGTATCTATGTCTTCAATCTTACGAATAGTGGTGATGATAATGGTGGGACATTTGATTTAATAAAAAATGGGTCGACCTCCGTGAATATTAAATTTAGTCAAGCTGTTCCAGAGGGAGGAGTGATGCTCATAGTAATGGGAGAAACAGATGCATTAATAATGTTAGATAAAAATCGATCTATAACAAGTGATACTACTATATAAGCCTTAAAATTGTTCATTTTCTATTAATTTTAAATAGAAATGTTAAGACTTGCCAAAATTATATTTTTAATTAGTACATCTTTTGTTGATACTCTAAGTACTGACGGTATTGTTGATGTTCAAAACCTTCCAGAATATAGTCAATATTTACAATGAATGGAATATCCCCCTAAGAGGAACATTACTGTTCCAAGTATATCTGCTCCCGCTATTTCTGCTCCTCAAACTTTTGGTAGTCTCCCTCAAATTCAACTATGTAAGGAGTCACCGCAAGATATATATTGACATATATTTTGTTGGGGAATGATTTGTATGTACATTCTTCTTATTATAAGTCTTGTTATTTATCAATTTCGATCAAACTTTGGGTAAGATTAAATATTTTGCGAAGAAATGTACAGCAGCCAGATAATTCAAATTTTGAGATCAAATCAAAAGACGAACAAAATCTTCGAGGGGTGCTTCCCTTGTGACTTGCTCCCTTCTCTTAATAGTTTGAAAAGACATACAGCTCTTAGTGTCAACTTGGATCCTCATGAGAAACAAGGGTCCCACTGGATTACACTTTATTTAGAAAAAGATGAATTATTTTATTTTGATAGTCTTGCATTACCTATAAGCTCTTGCATTATAAACTCATTTCTAAAAAATTTTAAAATTGTAAAAAGAAATTTTATTCCGTACCAATCACCCCTATCAAAGACTTGTGCTCACCATTGTATTTCCCTAATTTATTATTTATCCCAAGGCTACTCGATTTTCAAATATATAACATTATTAGATTCAATTAATAATACAGATTTATTTGTAACTAAAATTGTGAACAATATGATAATTAATTAATTATTATGTATTTTGAGATAACTTTTTGTTATTAGTAAAACATTATGTACAAAGTAAAACTTAAAATTGTGTTCATATTTGTGTACTATAATCTCACAGACACAACTTTTTCTGGTGAGGAGCCATAAGATGAAGAAAATAATTTTGATATTCGTAATTAATTCTAATTAATTTAGTTTTGAATAAAAATTTAGTATTCACGAGTAAAACATATGCAACCCTAAATACACATACGCATGTTCTAAACACACATGCAACCCAAATACATACACGTATACTTAAATACACACACATACCCTAAACACGCGTACACCTCCAGAGAACGCACGCATACCCGAAATGCATGAATTTTATCAAAATTTAAAAATTACATTTTCTTTTGTTAAAATATGCACTTTTCCCCCTATAATAACCTATTTCAAACTGTAAACTATGCATTTTGCAATTTCTAATGTTTAATTGTGCACCTTTCTCCCTAAAATCAACAACTTCTAAACGGTAATTATGCTCATTGCTTTTCCTAACTCTTAATTGTGCACTTTTCTCCCTAAAATTTACTACTTTTAAACACTAAAATTGCAAATTTTTTTATAATAAATTTATTAAATATAAATAAATAAGAATTATATTATAAAAATTTTTGAGGGAACGGGAGGAGACTCCAAGGATGTTAGAAATACTAAGTCTGCTACTATGGTCCTAGTCCAACTTGTAGTTTAATTAAAAATAAATTAAATTTCACTTTTCCCAATCTTTAACCAAAACGTTTAAAAAATCTTTTCAAATTTTCCTTGAATCAATTCTATACTGTAGTTTTGCCAAAGTATTTGATCTGTGTTTGAAGGGGAGAAAAGGAGAGGAGGAAAGGAGAGGAGAAGTAGTAGGAGGAAAGGAGAGGGGAGAGGGGAAGTAATAGGAGGAAAGGAGAGGGGAAAAGGAATAGTAGTAGGAAAAGAGGAGGAATAGTAGGAGGAGAGGAGAGGAGGAGTAGGAGGAAAGGAAAGGAGCAGAGGAGGAAATGAGAAGAGTAATAGGAGGAGAAGAGATTAACACTGCTAATAGAAACCAATTAGTAGTGCTAATTGATCAATTGGTCATACAAATTATCAACGAAATCATCCGAAACCCCCTACATCCATAGGATTTAAGCGGAAAGATAAAAGAATTTTAGCCGCAACACTCCTACACCATTTGGTTTCAGCGGATCCCTCGTTCATACAGTTTAATTAGTAACACTTACAAACTACTACCCATGTTCATCCTTTTGATTTACTCACACTAATATACATAATATCTTCTTTTGTCTGGCCCTCCTCGCCACTCATCCTTTTGATTTTTACCGCGGCATTCCCTCTCCCTTTTGATTTTGTCGGACCCCTCCCCTTGTAAAAGAAGAGGGGAGCGCATCAAATTTGTTGGGAGCGCATCAAAGGGTGCCGCCCCATCCTCGACATACCCTCCTAATCTGTTGCTAATCCTTCAAAGGATGCCGTCACCGACATCCCCCGACGTAACCCTACTATACACTACTACCTATAGTAAAGTTTTTCATTCCGAACGGTATCTTCAAGTATTGCAAGTGTTTGATGTCTAGGAAATTGGTGGAGAGCTTCAATTGCTTGTTGTTGTGCCAAAACATCTCGCTCATAAAGTAAAATAAATTCCCATTGATAAAATGGCTGAGTCATAAAGATTTGACGTAAAAGAAGCATTTCTGGATCAATTCTTGAAAATTGTAAATTTTTAACGTTAAATATCTTATAATGAGAGGTATCGTGAGTGGATCTTGTTCTCCCTCACCCAATCTAAACCAAATTAAAAACGTATCTTAAATCAAAAGGTGTGTCTAATTTAGGTAAATGTAAGAAAATTAAACCGAATCCATAAAACAGGAGAATCAGCATCCATTTGAGATAAATCCATTTCAACTTCCTCTCCGGTACCCAAAATAACTTTTTTCTTTTTTAATTTTCTTCCTTTAGAATGGCATTGAATATCATGCTTTGAGACTGCAGCATCTACTTGAACTGTATGAATAAAATGTCCATCAATTTCTTGGACGACAATAGTTAAAGGGCCAGCATATCTGAAATAGAGAGTTTTCTATGTTTTCTATGCATAAACATACATATTATTAAAAGAACAAAACCCTTAAAGTTAGCAAAGGTTTTCAGGAAAAACCAAGCAGGTAAGAACCCACTACATTACAAAGTCGTAGAATACAATTCTTCAAATATTTTTAAAAATTAACCTTTGACATCCAATAGGAGTAGGAACAGCTTGTCTAAGTTCTAATTCAATAACATTTCTTTTCCTATTAAAAGCATGGGAAACATGAAATTCAACATGTCCTCCAACATCAATCCATTGCTCAATAAACGAAGGAAATTCTTGTCCAGTAACATCCGTCACAATTCCCATAAATGATCTTGTAGAAATTAAAAGTTGTGACCATTCAGCTGGTTTGTTTAAATTTTGAGTATTTTGCATCCCAATACTTAAAATTCGTTGAAAAACCTTAAAACAAAAAAATTTTGTCTCTTGTCAAGTCTATGCGTCCCATAAAGATATAGTATTGGGGTTCTTTGAGTTTCAAAGTTTGCGCAAGATTTCTATTTTGGGTTCATAGCCCAAATTCGGGATCCATAGTCAGGTCATCCGTTAGCTTATTTTGGGGGTTATCATATTTTGGGCATAGTAACTGCAAAAACAATTTTGGTGGTTAGAATTTTACTGACTTAAATAAAAATAAAATACATTGTTCCAACCCCGGAAAATCTTATAAAACCCAAATACAATTAGAAATCTTATGTCTACAATGTTGGTAACTTGGTTGATGCATACACTGGACAAGAGTCAATTTTTTAATTTAAAAAAGAAAAACTTTAATAAATTGTTCTTTAGGTAATCTTTTATCCAACATTCTTAATATTAAATGTCCTCTTTTAAAGAGCGTTTCCAAATAAAGTAGTGAACAAAGTTCTGGCAAAGAACGATCAGATGAAGATTCGTCAAATTCTTCTAATTTTGAACGAAGTGTTATTGGACCAAAACGCGATTCGTAGTCACAAGAATCTTTTAAAAATTTTTGTACTTGAAAAAGAAATTCACAAGTCCCAAAAAATCGTTCGACAAAAATCCCAGTCATGAAACTAAAAAGTTAATCTGTAATTTTGAAACATTTTAAGATAAGCTCTTAAGCACTAAAAAATTACATCTTATCATGAGGTGTATCGTAAAGAGGAAGTAACGTTTAGTTAACTTCCAAACAGGAGTATCCAAATTTTAACTAAAAAAGCACATTAAATCTAGTAGTGGGTAGTAACTCATAACGAGGTCCGAACTTTTAGAAATTTAAAACCTTGAAATTGCCCCAATTAACCAAATTTCTGAAAAATCTTTTGAAGTAACAAAACATCCAAAAAATTGTTGAGCCACTGCTTTTGCCAAAATTTGTCTCATGTGTTGAACTGTATCCAAAATCTTTTTGTGGTATAAAATATTTAAGGAAAATATTGAAAGACCAGAATATGTTGTTAATTCATCTGGGGTCTTTAAAAAATTAAAGAAAAAATTTTTGTAAAAATTAAAAATTACCTGATCAACAAAAACCTGCCAATAAGTGCTGTAAGGAAATCTACATGAAAGCAATTCTTCAAAGAAAACAAATATTCTATTTAAAGAAGTCATTGTATGTCTAAGTAGAGGCATTAAAGATGGAAGAACAAAGCTGATAATCTTTAAAAGAAATTTTTAAGTGCTTGATTTAATAAATGTTGGGAAAAGGAATAAATACAATGGAAAATAATATTGAAAAATGAAACTAAAATTTGGGTTAATTCGGTATTGTCGATTTTTCCAATAAATATTCAATGGAAAAATAGGTTAAAAGAAAGACTTTCAAAAACCCTAGTCAAAAATAAAAAATCATCCAAAAGGTCGCAAAAATAAAGTATTAACAACCTCGGGCATTTCTGGTTGAACATACATTTGAAAATCTCCAATAGCAAATCCAATATTTCCCGGAGCTGTTGGAACAAGTAATTGATAATGAAAGGTTTTTAAAGAATCGTCATCCAAAACAAAAGTTGTATCCTATAAATTTAATTTTTTAATTAAACAAAAATAAATAAAATTATACAATTAAATCACCACAACAAATTGCTGTTAAATTTTTAGGAACTGTAAATTCAAATCGCCAAACACAAAGTTGAGAGGGACTTTCGAAACAAGGAAGCCATTCTTTTGTGCTAGATATTAAATTGGAACGAAAAGTGAATAAATGTGAAGGAGAAATATTATTTTCATTAGAAATATCAAAAACAAATTTGATACCCTGAAAAATGTAAAAAAGTGAAATTAAAGAAAATATTTGAAAATTTGAAGAGAGAACGAACGTAAATTTTTTCCCTGAGGATCAGGGCAATATCGAATCATTTTTCTTCAGTTTAAACTTTAGTTCAACTTTTGTGACAAATTATTTGAAAATTAGAATTTACAACTAACATAAATAAAAAAATATTGATCTCCTGCAGAGTAAAACGTAAATTACTTTTTTACAAATAAGTTAGATTCAAACAAGCGAGGAATCTAGCTATTCTCTTACGTGGCGGAAACGAATAAAAAGCCGTTATTGAATCAATACCCAAATTATAAATAAAATCCAACCTTACATTTCGAGGTTTAGAAACAATCAAATCCATAGCGAGTTTCATAACTTTGTGAGTTTGAACATAATTAATGCATTGATCAGGAATTTTAATTATTAAATCACCTAGATGAGAATCTATTGCTTCAATAAAAGCTTTTTTGCATGATTGAATGGAATAATTTGACTGATCAGTTGAGAAATTCTAAAAAAATAATTGATAGAAAATAAACCCTTAGGATTCAAAAAAGTATTATAATTGTTTTATCTAGGATCTCCAAAACAAACCAAATTAAAAATATTTCGAGTATAAATTGCATCAACATCGTCAATTGTCACTTTTCCAAATCCCTCAAAACGTGCTTCATTTGGCAAAATACAATCTAAAAATAAATTTAAATTAAAAATATTTTTCTAACAAACCTCTGCCGATGTTGAGAATTATATTAGATAAATTTGATTTGAGAGGAATAAAAGCAATTTCTGTTGAAACACGAAATGATTGTTTTTCAAAATTAATTTGAGATATTTGAACACTTTGACTTAATATACGAAAATCAGACGAATTCATTTTCTAAACAATAAAATTAGATTATTATAAGTACATATTAACGTGAAAATTAAATTCTAAACGAGATATAAAATATGAGGATGTTTTTAACTCTTGAAATAAATATACTTTCGACTTGGCGACCAAAGTTCGGAAAAATCTTGGAGACCAAAATTCCGGTGACCAAAATTCCGTAAACCGTTGAACACTGGGACGAATCCGGGAGGAACGAATTGGGGAGCAGAAGCCATCCTCTTGCGACTAACTGCTCGCGGCGAAATGTCTGTTCCTATTTTCGGTTAAGGACGATTCAGTATCGCCGATTCAGTATAGCCGATTCAGTATCGCCGATTCAGTATCCGCCGATTCAGTATATTGCCATAACTTTCCTGATATTCGACTGATTTGAATAATTCTCATATCATTCGAAAGGTCTCATAATCCGGCATCTTTTTTATAATTGGCCCGATCTGATCTGATGATCACAAAAAAAGTTACAGCGTCAAAACCGATTTTTTATGCCTGTGACGTCGTTTATCAGTGATAACTTTTTGTAGAGTGATAAGATCAGGTCAGTCCAATTATGAAAAAGATGCAGCACCCCGAGACCTATCAAATCATATATAATAATTTCAACAATATTGATCGGGCAAAAAGTTATGGCCAAAAAGCCCAAATACTGAATCGGCCAATACTGAATCGGCGATACTGAATTGGCGATACTGAATTGGCGATACTGAATCGTCCCCTACCCTCGGGTACAGCCCAAGTAGGCGCGGGCCAAGTAGGCGCGACCGAGTAGGCGCGACTGAGTAGGCGCAGGCCAAGTAGGCGCAAGGCCAAGTAGGCGCACGGCCCAAGTAGGCGCAAGGGTAAATTTCTTAATTTTTACCCAAAATTTTTTTATTAATCTTCAACTAATTTTGTTAATTAGTTGGCTGAATAATCAAGCAACTTTATGTGGACACTGGACTTTTTCTAAAACTGCCCTTCTTAGGGAAAAAAATTTATTAAGTGAAGCTCGTTGATGTTTTTATTTTTTGATAAAATTTAAAAAAATCTTTTAATATTTTTCCCATAAAAGCTCCATACTTAGCTGCTGATAAGTTTTGGATTATTTGCTAAGTTTGTTAATTAGTGAAAGCCATGCTGCTTTGATAATTCCTGTGGCTTACCAATGTTATGAATACTCTAACTAGTTCAACTAGTTTAAGGGGGACTAACTAGTTAGCCTTTAGGAACTAATCTTTTTAAGGGAACATGAAGTATATACAAAGGTACAATTAACAATCAAGATACGACTATCAAGGCGTTTCACAAAAAAGTCCAGCTACAGTTAGGAGTCTTTTGATGATTAAAAGCTTTTAATGGATTAAAAAATAAATATACACTTTTGAACTGCCTAGTTAATGCATACAGTACGAACGTATACTAACAGGGTATCGATATTTAAGGTGTCTTTCTTCTAAAATAGGTACCTTTCTTCTAATTTTTATCAAGAATCTTTCTTCTAACTCATTAACATAAAAATATTTATACTGACTTATTTTTAATTTGAATATTTTAAGCTAAAAGATTTGCGCCTACTTGGGCCGTGCGCCTACTTGGCCTTGCGCCTACTTGGCCTGCGCCTACTCGGTCGCGCCTACTCGGTCGCGCCTACTTGGCCCGCGCCTACTCGGGCGTGTCCCCCTACCCTCCTATTTTTGGCATTGTGTTTTTAAGCATTAATTTTAAATTAAAAATTTTTTATTGGCTTGGTTTTTTTCTACATTTTTACTTTAACTTACTTAGATTTTTTTCAGATATTTATCAAAAATTAAAATGGGAGATGTGCGTATGATACTTGAATTTTTTCACAGCCATGTTCCTCAACTTCAGCTTACACGTGAATCACTTGATAATCCTCAGGTTTTTTCTAAAATTATTTTTAATTTAAAATACTCTTCTAGACCGATCAATTAATACAAGCTTATAATTATTTATGTGGACTTGTACTTGAAAATATGAATTGCGAAATGGCAGACAATAATGTTGACCAAGTATTAGCTCGACCTAATTTAGTAATTAAAACTAGAGAATCTGTGTAAGAGAACTTTAGTTATATTTTTATTTAAATTCCTTTCCTTTTAGAAATTTGGTTTTCGAAAGTATTTTCAATGGGAATGATGAATTTTGTTATACAGATTTACTCCAACCGGACCCACGCAGAACCAGGCATTTCCTGGTCACTTTAATTCGTTTCTACTGTTTTAAATGTGAGATGTCGACAGAAGTTATGAATATTGAAAATGAACTTGTTAGTTTTATTAAAAGAATTTTGAAGCCTTAGGGACCCAAATCGTTTTGATTTAGTAGTAAAATGGGCCCCTAGTGTTAAAAATTCTTTAAAATATTTCACACTTTATAGGAAGCTCAATGTCGTACTTACAAGCTTGAAAAGGATTTTGCTTCGAAAACAGAAGCGGTAAATTGATAAAAATAAAATTTATTTAAATTTTAATTTCAAAGGATATAAATAATGAAAAGAAACGATTGAATGCTCTTGAAGAAGAAAAACATTTAATTGAAAGCCAGGATCTGAAAACTCAACAAGAATTGATGACAAAAAGGGCATTAATTGCTACAGAAAAAAAGAAGTGTGAAGAAGTTCAAAAGCGTTTAAAGGAGTTGGAAGCCGAAATTGTTTGTCCTTAAATTAATTTAACACTAAAAGAAATTTTTTTTTCTTAAGGAAACGTACAAAGAAAAAGGTATTCAAATAGAAGACACGCTTAAAAGATTGGATTTGAACATTGTTACTTCACCTGAACTTCTTATTGAAGAATTGAAAAAATTGGAAAAAAATCGATTAGATGTGGAAAAGAAGTTGGAGGATACCCAGTTAGTTTTTATTTTTAATTTATAATAAATATAGTATTGTGATAATGTTAAAGCGGCATTTTCGGGCGACATTCGGGATATTCAAAAATTGTTTTATAAAACTGGTGAGTAAGCAGTGATACGTTGCAAAGCGTAGGTGGTTGGTTGGTTGATGGTGGTTGGCTTGTTCGCAAATTTTAATCAATGAGTAATTAAAAATATTTAATTTTCAGAAAAACTAAGCGAAAAACTGAATATGAAGTAGCTGAAATACTCGCAATGGGTCAACGAATTGATGCTCTTGGAGAAGACTTGGAAAAGTTGGAAGAGTTTAAACGAAGAATGCCTGAAATGAGAGGGAATGAAGATAAAATAATTCAAGTAAAATTTTTGAAAAGAATCCTCCTGACTAGGGTCTATCACTCACATCAGCACAATGTGTTGAACAAAATTCAGTAACCTACTTTACTTTTCCTACATTATTTAGATCTTGAACCTAAAAGTATCCATTAAAACCCGAGAATAAATGAAAGTGAAAAAGGAACGAACAAACTTGCAAAAAATTGAAAATCTTTTTTTTTAATTATTCTTTAGGAAGTTAATAATCTTGAGAAAGAAAAGAATGAGATGCGTAATAAATTGGAGCATATCAACAAAGGAGCTGTTGAAGAACGCACAAATATTAAAGAAAAAATTCTGGCTACACGGATCGAAGTGGAAACAATTAATCAAAAAATTAAAAATTTGCAAAGGTTTTTTGAACTCTATTTTATTTTTTAAATTTTTTTTAAAAGTGATGAAAAGGAGCTTTCCAATCGTCTTTTTAAAATAAAGGAAAATATTCGTGAAAATATGTCAAAAAATGAGGAAATGGATCGAAAATTTGTTTTGACAACGGAACGTTTTGATGAAATAATTAGAAGTCGATTAAATGATCTTAAAATGTTGAAAAAGAAGGTTTGTATTTTATAGTCAGACCTCATTTATAGATACCCTTTAAATTAAATATTCCTTTAATTTTTGGAATTTGTTGGAGAGCTGATTAGGCGAGATATCAATTATTTTAAGATGCTTTTCATTATAAAATAAAAGTTTCTAGTCCAAAAAGGGGTATTTTACAATGAGGTTTGTATTTGTCAATTAAATGATAATTTTAATATTTTTATAGACAGACGATCAACACAATGTGTTGGACAAAATTTTAAAGAGAATGATGAATTAAAACAATTTTATTTTTTTTGTGTGTAATTTTATGTTTTATTTGAATAAAAGTAAAAAGATATTTTGTCATGTGTTTTAATATAATCTGCTATCTCTTTAATGAGGTATTGAATCCTATTATTTTTTGCTTTTAAACTAAATGTCACCCGAATGCTTTTTGTCCATATTTGCCCTTATTGACATTTTGGTCTTTAATAATTTTTACATTTGTTTATTAGAGAGTCCAAAGAAAAAGAGGGGACACGCCAAAAACCAAAACGTCACGGCCGAAACGGCGCAAGGCCAAAACAGCGCAAACCCAAAACTGCACACCACCCTTTTGGTAAACGGATCCTTGAATCAATAATTAAATTGTCCAATAAGTTTGCGCGCAACGGGAAATTTGTTCCAACAATGGGGAAGGTTGTTCCGATGACGGGTGATGTTCTGCCAGTTTGCGCCTTTTTGGCCGTGCGCCGTTTTGGCCTTGCGCCGTTTTAGCCTGCGACGTTTCTGCCGCGCTATTTCGGTCGGACGTTTTGGCCTGCGCCGTATTGGGTTGTACCCGAAAAAGAGATGTGGCGAAGGCGAGAGTAAATTGAATGACTTTTTAGACTATTTTTTAGTGATCCTGATTTGGTTACGTTGTGTTTAGTTACTTTAATAATATACCGTATTTTTCCCAATAGAAGCGCACGCACAGTGGTTCAAACCCGTTGACAGACAGCGCATAGCAAACAGAGAAAAAGACAAAATGGCCATTAACGGGGAAAATTACAAAATGGTCAGTAGCTGCAAAAGAAAAGAGGAAAGTCAAAATGGTCAAAGAGAGAAATTCTCTCATTTATGAGGGGAATTAGTTAAATTTTATATCTTTTGGCCCTCCGGTCCGAATTTTTTCAAATTTTGTAATTTTGTAGTCCTAAAATAGATAAACAATCCTGTAAATTTTGAGAAGACAATATGCAATTTTAGCGAAGTTATGAATTTTTAAAAATCGGTAAAATTCGTCCTATTTTTGGCCATAACTCACTCCAAAGTTGTCCTTTTTTCCTAATTTTTGTTTTATACGGATCAGTGATGAAAAACAAACAAAAACTATGTAAAGTTTGCACGTGTTATCTCGACTTACTATTTAGGTTGACATATCGGTTAACCGACTACCTATAACTAATGAACCCCTGGTCAAAATTTCTTCAAAATTTTCTGAATTGTAGTACTACAGATGTTATACAAAATTGCAAAATTTGAGCGGAAAATATGCATTCTTGACCAAGTTATGATTTTTCGAAAATCGGTAAAAATCCATGCATTTTTGGCCATATCTCAGCCTACATTGGCCCTACAAACTTAAATTTGGTATCATTCGACGTATCTCGTCGAGTTGGAAAGGAGAAGACCAAAATCGTCTTGCTTAACTTTTCTACATTAAGTAAAAAAACTGAAAATCCTATCTGAAAATTTTCAAAAACTTCGGCCATATTAACTTTTTTTTGAACATATGAAAATTCACGAAATTTTTTTGACATGATCTTAAAACAAATATCTATGAAATGTATTGACAGATTTTAAAACGTATTGGTAGTTTTCGAGATATTGGATTTCAAAATCGGCAACCTAAAATAGAAACGAGAGTAATGATAAAAAAGAGAGAGTAAGAAAATGAAAGAGAGGAAAAACGAGAGACTACACAAATTTTGCTATGCGCGCTTTTGAACCACTGTGCGCACGTCCCATTTGAAGCGCACGTCCCATTAGAAGCGCAGTCTACGAGGAGGTTGAAAAATACAAGCGCAGGTCCCATTAGAAGCGCATGTCCTATTATAAGCGCACCCTTTGAAATACTTATTTGAGCAATTACTTTGTTACATAGTTACCTTCATTCCTATCATTCGAAAGATCTAAGGTTTTTCGAGTTATAATTGGGGAAAACTTATTTCGATCTTGCCTAGGAGATAGAGTGGAAAAAGCTGGATGGATGATGCTCTCACAATCGAATATTCGAGAGCAATTATTGGGCAATTATTGAGATCAGAAATTTTGAAAAGCCTGGGCCTCTTCCTGGGTTCCGGGTTTGATTTATTGACCTGGGTCGGATCCTGGGCCTGTAGTACAGGAAAACCCCAGGAAGGTCAAAAAATGCCTGGGCCTGGACTCTGGGTCAGGAAAAACCCAGGCCTTGGTCCAGACCCAGGCAGATCTCTAGTTCTCACAACGCTTGCTTATTTGGGTCCACCACCAATGAAATTTTATTTGGGATGGATAGTGGAAGCATGAGATGTGAACTCAAAAAAAATGTTGCAAAACGCTTTTGGGTTTGTGGAATTGGAATTCCATGTGTTGGTTCGAAAATGTTGAAATAATTGTTTTAGGAGTTGAAAAATACAAGCGCACGTCCCATTTGAAGCGCACGTTCCAATAGAAGCGCAGTCTACGAGGAGGTTGAAAAATAGAAGCGCATGCGCTTCTATTGGGAAAAATACGGTAAATTTGCTTATAATGGATCCCAATAAGTTAATATCTAGCATGAAACAAATCAATTTAGCTTTAATGCTTGTTTTTAAAAAATTATTTTAGATAAAGAATATTTTAAAAATTTTAAATGTCAACTGCCGTTTCCCCAGCATTATCTATGGATGACTGGAAAGCAGAACTTAATCTACCTACTAAAGACCTTCGTTTTAAGACTGCTGTTAGTTATCATTCCCAAAAGCTTTGCTTATATTAAATCTAACACTTTTAAGGATGTAACAGCGACTAAAGGTATCGAGTTTGAGGAATTTGGTTTGTCACGCGATCTTCTGAAAGGAATTTTTGAGAAGGGATGGGAGAAGCCGAGTCCCATTCAGGAAGCTTCGATTGCAATAGCTCTCTCAGGTTTTCTTTCCTGTGTTTATTTTACTTCTTTTATTTTCAGGGCAAGACGTTTTAGCTCGAGCTAAGAATGGAACGGGTAAAACAGGGGCGTATTGTATCCCTTGTATTGAGAAAATTGATCCTTCGAGGGAATATATACAAGCTATGGTTGTTGTTCCAACTCGTGAATTGGCCTTGCAAACTTCACAAATCTGTGTTGAGTTGAGCAAACATCTTAAGATTAAGGTTGTCTAAATTTTCATTTTTGAGCAGAAATATTCTTAGGTGATGGTTACAACTGGTGGTACTGATCTTCGTGATGACATTTTGCGCTTGAATGGAGTTGTTCACTTAGTTGTTGCCACTCCGGGAAGAATTCTTGATTTGATGGAGAAGGGTGTTGCGAATGTTACTCGTTGTAAGACTATTGTTCTTGATGAGGTATTTCTTTTTGGATTTTTATTTAACTTTTGCTAAATTTTAGGCTGATAAACTTCTGTCACAAGATTTCCAAGGTGTTCTTGATCGTCTTGTGCATTTTATGCCTGCTGACCGTCAAATTATGCTTTATTCTGCAACTTTTCCGCGAACTGTTGAATCTTTTATGGAAAAGCATATGCAGAGGCCTTATGAGATTAATTTAATGGAGGAATTGACTTTGCTTGGAATCACTCAATTTTATGCTTATGTTCAAGAGAAGCAAAAAGTTCATTGTTTGAATACTCTTTTTCGAAAGGTTTTTGTTTACATAACTTTCTTGTTGAATATTAAATTTTTAGCTTCAAATTAATCAATCAATCATTTTCTGCAATTCGACTCAACGTGTAGAATTACTTGCAAAGAAGATAACTGAACTTGGTTATTCTTGCTATTATATTCACTCTAAGATGGCACAACAACATCGAAACAGAGTTTTTCATGAGTTTCGTCAAGGGCATTGCAGAAATTTGGTTTGTTCGGATCTGTTAACGCGTGGAATTGACATCCAAGCAGTCAATGTTGTGATTAATTTTGATTTTCCTCGCAACTCTGAGACTTATCTTCACAGAATTGGACGGTTTGATTTATTAATTTTTCGACAACTGAAATAAGAATCTTTTTAAACCTTAATTTATTTTTCAGTTCTGGCCGATTTGGACATCTTGGAATCGCAATCAACCTCATTACTTATGAGGATCGTTACAATCTCAAGCGCATTGAGAAGGAATTGAGGACTCACATTGAACCTATCCCCAAAGAAGTTGACCCTAAACTTTATGTGGCAGAGCATCAGATGGAATGAGTTTTTTTAATATTAAAACAATTGACATAGTTCACTTAAAAGACTGAAAAGTATCCAAATTTTTTAGTAGAATTTAACTGTTTATTTTTTGTCAAATTTATTGTCTTTTCAGTGAATTGTGGTAAATAATATTACAACTCGGTTTGTCCACTGACTTATATTGAAATGAAATTAATTGACAAAAAATATTTGAATTAATTTTTTAAAAACTTCCGACAAGCCTAGCTGTTTTATTCTTTACATGAAATTATATTTAAATGAGAAAGTATTGTGTTCCTCATCTCAATCAAGCCACTATTATATTATTATTAAGAGAGATTTTTCATTTGTTTATGTTAGTAAATTAATATGATCACGAATAAATGTTTCGTTGATTGTAAAAGCGAAACATTTTGAGGAATTTTTCATCATCTCGTTGAGAAATATAAAAGCCTCAATTATTTGATTTTTTTAATTAAAAGATTTTTGTCAATTTTTTGTTGAAACTTTTAAAATTTGCTTTTAAGAATCATTCAGTCAAATAATTTCTGTACACAAAATTTCAAATAATTATGGCTAATATTCGTAACAAAAAAACAACGAGAACTGAGTATATATAAAACACTGCATTCTTTCCATTAATGCGGGTATTTTAACATCATTTCAGAATAAGTAGTTTTTCTTGGACAGTAAAGTACTTTAAAGCAGTGTTCTCCCGGTTTCAGAAACTGTTTTTGAACCGACATTGACTGCAATTGCAGGCCCTTTTCTATTTTTTTAAACCGGGTGAACACTGCTTTATGAATAATTTCGATTGCTGAATATTATTCGATTGAAGTACTTTGTCCGAGAAATTTAAAAATATTTTTCTACTGTTTTCCATAAATTGCTTTTGAAAAGCAAAAAAGTTCCATTTTATATATTTTTATAATTGGTTGATTTTTTAAAAAATATTAAAAATTGTTTTGAATTGAAAATTTAAATCAATCTACCATTTTTCGGACATTTTCACATTAAAATCAACAAATTATTTTTTATCAAATTTGACTCTCTTAAATTTACGGTCGTGGAAAAAAGTATGGAAGCGCTAGAAAATTTTTTCTTAATTCTTAATTTTTCATTCAAAAAATACGTTCTATATATCAATCGAAAGCTCTATTCGTATCTCAGTTGACATGTTTCTGCATTTTTCATTAAAATGAAAATTGGCCGAGATAATCCGGATCTACCGGATATACCAAATCCCACTTTTTCGGAAAAATTTTTCGGAACAAATTTAACAAACCCAAATGATAAAGCATATTTTTCTGAGTATTTTCCACAAAACCGCTTAGAAATATCTTTTTCCGGAACAGAGATATAATTTTTTGAAAATCGTATTTTTCCCTTAAAAATCGAATTTTTTGCAAAAAATGACCAAAAATACGATTTTCAAAAAATTATATCTCTGTTCCGGAAAAAGATATTTCTAAGCGGTTTTGTGGAAAATACTCAGAAAAATATGCTTTATCATTTGGGTTTGTTAAATTTGTTCCGAAAAATTTTTCCGAAAAAGTGGGATTTGGTATATCCGGTAGATCCGGATTATCTCGGCCAATTTTCATTTTAATGAAAAATGCAGAAACATGTCAACTGAGATACGAATAGAGCTTTCGATTGATATATAGAACGTATTTTTTGAATGAAAAATTAAGAATTAAGAAAAAATTTTCTAGCGCTTCCATACTTTTTTCCACGACTGTATTTAGTTTTTTAAATCCCACAAAATTAAGGAAAATTTAAATAGAGCAATTTAAATTATTTGTTCTAAACTTTTACCTAGGTATTTTTTTAGAAAAATTAAATGTAAAATTAAAAATTAAAATCAAAAAAAAAATAAAAAATTGTTATCAATTTCACTGCTCATTTGTATATAATTTACAATGTATTTTTTAAATTATCCAACATTTTCAAGATGTTGCTGCATCTCTCTCTCATTATTCCTCTGACCTATCACAATTTTTTTTGTTAATTATTTTTCTTCAAGTCTTCAAAGTTTGTAGGCTTGGGAAAGAACGGAAAAAAATTTTCGGATTTTTTTCTGCTGACTAAAAAATTTAGAAAAGAATTTTTGGTGATTTTTTAGTTTAAAATTTCAAAATTTGAACAAAAGTAAATTTCCGTTTTGTCTCATTTTTAGTAGAAAAAATCAATCTTTTTTTAAATTAAATTTAGAAGAATTTTAAAAAAGCTTGATATTTCTTTACTTTTATTCTCTCAATCGAAGCACTTTTCTTCTAAAATTCTCTCCAAAGGAGAGGTTATACCTTTTATTAAATAAAAAGTGCTTCTATTAAAGAATTTATTGATTTATTTATTTTTCATCATTTTCGTGCATATTTGTGCCTTAAAATAAGATTTAAGGAACATAAAAAAGTTAAAATATTATTTTTGAATAATTTGGATATACATGGAAATAAAAAATAAATAAAATTTATGTTCCTTAATTTTAATGCACTATCTAATTTAAGACATCTTCGCGTTTTTGATGAAATTTTTTACGAGAATGAATAAAAGGGACAAAACGGATTTGTTTGTTTTTTTGTGTTTATTATTGGGTTTTACATAAACCATTTTTTCATTTTATTACATTAAGACCCTCATTATAAGATATTTACACCCTTGGGTATGAAAAAATTATTTAACTAGGTAGAGGGAGTATTTTAATTATGTAGTCCATTGGCTTAAAAAACGTAAATAGAATTTGATGAAGGATCTAGTTTTATAGGGAGGTCCGGCTATATAATGTTTGGAATATTAAACAAAGATTTGGGGCACATTTGAAAATCATTTGGTTAGTTTTGCAGAAATTCGATTATGTTAAAATTTCTGCAAAAGAATATTTTTCACTCAAAATGTAGCTTTTATTTTTTAAATATTTTTAGATGAAAAATCGTTTAAATAAATTAGAAAAACGGCAAAAATTTGGAGGTATTGAAATAATTATATAAATTTAAAATTATTTTTTAATTTCAGAATTAGTTGATTTATGGTCTTCTACTGGCCCTCAAAAAATGTTTTCTTCAAAAATAAAAAAATCTTCAATAAATTTTAACAAAAATCTTTCCAAAGATTTTGATGTGATAATTGAGGAAATGAAACAAAAAGAAAATAAAAATGCTTTTCTGTCAAATTATTTTTTATTTGAAGCTTTAATTTACAAATTTGGTACTTCAAATAAACACCAAAAATTTTGGAAAATTTCATTGAAAATATATAGAGAATTGAGGAGGTTATTAAATGATGATATTTTGTGCTATTTTAACAAATTTAACGAGGTTTTCTTTTGATTTTGTGGGAGAGGGGGAGGGAGAAGTAGACCTCTCTCCATTATCCGAAGGGACTAATGAGGAGAGGTAGACTGATGGGAATTTAGTGGGTGTAATAATTAAGATACAATTAGGGACTTTGGTTATTATTTGTGTAATAATCTAAAGGTTATAAATTAATTTTGTTTAGACTAGTTATCCTTCATAAATAAAAATTTTGTAATTAATTTTCCAAAAATAATATTTTTTTCTTTTAATTTTTTTTTAAACTTCTTTTTTCCTTTAGAAACTAAAAAATAGTCAATTTATTTATTCTCCATTAAAACAAACAATTTGCTTTTTTGGAGCTATTTTATTAAAGAAAATGTTTAAATTGGATAAATTACGTTTAATTTGTGCCAATTCTGTTGATTGTTCTATGGGATATGTTGAATTGGGATTTTTTGTATTTTTTGGAATTTAAAAATTTTCTAAAAAAAATTTCAAGTTAACTTTTAATTTAATGTTAATTGCAATTATTTCTGATGTTGCTAAGGAAGCAAATAAACAAATAATTATTTTGGCTAACATTTATCAAAAATTGGGAAATTATTTTTATAAAAGTTCTAAACATTGGTTTGTTTTTATTTTTTTATTTTATTTTAAAAAATGATTGGAAATTTTTGGAATTAAAAATTATTTTGTAAGGAAAGCAAGAATACAATTGGATCGTATTGGGCTAACTCACGGAACGGACAAGTCACGGAATTACCAGCTAGCGGAACGACCAACTTACGGACCAACTCAATAAGACTCTTAACAAATTAGAATGTTTTAAAAAACGGAATTAAAAAATTCTGATTTCTAAGAATATTCTTATTTTTAAAATATTCCGTGTTTTGGTCATTCCATGAGTTGGTCATTCCGTGATTTGGTAATTCCGTGACTACCAAATTTCCGTGACGTGTCAGTTCCGTGATTTAAAATTCCTCGAGTTAGCCCCCACCACAGTTGGATAGAATTTAGATCATTTAATTGCAGAGGATGTTTAAGATTAGTTTAAAAACTGAGTTTTCTGTTTTCCTTTTATTTTCCCCTTTTTTGTGTTTTAATCCCTTGACATTTTAATTTTAAATTTACATTTTTCAGTTTGCCTCCAATTATTAATTTTAATTTATTCGAGTCAATAAATAAAGAATCAAACAAAAAATTATATAATAGAGATTTGGCATTAATATTTAATGAAATTGAAGGAGAATCAAATAGAAGGAGTGAATTGGAATTAGAAAGATTAGAAGGACTTGAATAAATTTATTTTAAATTTTTAAATTATTTTTTAAAAAATATTTTGTTAAAAAACAATAAAAATTATTTTTACTTTTATTTATTTTTAAAATTCTTTTTTTTAATTTATGAAAAAAAGGCCAAATATTGACCAACTTTTAAAAAACGAACTTTCAACGTCTGTTTCAAATTTTACTAAAGAAGGGAATTTTTTAAGAAGAGAAGAAACTAAACAAAGAAATTTAATTGAATTTAATTTTGTTGAGAATTTAAGTGCTACAGAATTAATTAATTTTGAAAGGTTTTTTTTGTTAATATTTTATTTTTTGGTGGTAGACATTTAGGGGGTACCAAATGGAGTTTTGTTTTAGGTGGGAGGGACATCGCTTATGTAATTGCCCTCGGTGAGATCTGGTTTTTTTGTAAAAGTTTGGGACTCTTATTTTAAAAAATTTAGAGTAAAAATGTTGGTAGGAATTGATGCTTTGACTGGTGCAAATTCTGGTGTTCTTAAAGGTTTTTCTTAAGTTTAGAATATTTTTAAGTATTTTCCAAAGGCATTAGATTTGCCAATTCAACTTTCGTTAATTTTCGACCTCAAAATGAAAAAGATGATTCTGTAAAGGGAAGGGCAATTACAACAATGAGTTTTGCAGACAAAGAAAAGGTTAGTTTTACTTTAAAAAATTAAATTAGTAAGAATGGCGGACGGACGTTTCAATTGAGTAAAAAACAAAAATATCTAACTTTCACCCATGTCAGTTATTGTTATGCAGCTCTATACCGAATGATTAAATCTATTAAAAAATACTTTTTCAGAGCGAAGTACTTATTGGAAGAAAAAATGGTCAAATTGATTTATTTAATACTTTAAGTGAATCAATTAATCAACTATTTAATGTAAATGATAATGAAGAAGAAAGTAATTCAATTGATTCTATCTGCGGAGTTGAATGTTTAATTAAAAGGTTTTTTAAATATTCTTATTTTTAATACGACATTTTACGAAAAGTTTATTTTTAAAGTGTAAAGTCAATCAGAAACCGTCTTCTTCTTTCACTAAATTGTCTCGATTATTTAAAAATATTCTTTTCAGTAACAAAATTTTAACTGCTACAAATTCTGGTGATCTCTCAATTTGGGATACTTCAGGAAAATGTTTAAATAAATGGAATGCTGGTGATAATTTAATTACAATGAGGTTGGCACGGGGGGATTCACCAACAGTTTTTGCTACTGGAGGAAAAGAAAATGAATTAAAAGTTTGGAATTTTGAAGATCAAAAATGTGTTTTTACTGCTAAAAATGTAAGGAAATTTTTTAAAATAAAAGGACAGACAAGCATAATTTCTCTCAATTATTTTTTAAGGTCAGGCCAGACAATCTAGAATTAAGAGTTCCTATTTGGATTAAAAATTGCAGATTTATGGACGAAAGTGGTAATTGTTTGGCTACAAGTACAGGGCATGCTCAGGTTTTTAATTTTACTTTTCTTCACGTTAAAAATATTTTAAGATTCGTCTCTATGATATTCGTGCTCAACGTCGCCCAGTACTTCAGGAAACTTGGTTAGAAGAGCCAATAAATGCTTTATCTACATGTTGTCGAGAAAATCATCTTTTAGCTGGAAATAGCCGTGGAGAATTGGGACTTTTTGATTTTCGTTCATCTTCTAAAAGTAAGAACATTTTATACACATATGAGTCCGCCTATATCTTTATTCTTTTTTAAAGGTCGATTAGTATCAAAATACAAAGGATTTTCTGGTTCTATAAAATCAACTGACGCTTCTGATAATCATCCACAATTCATTTCTTGCGGTGTTGATAGATTTGTGATTTTACATAATTTGGATACAAAACAAATATTCAAAAAAATATATGCAAAAGTACAATTAAACTGTTGTCTTTTAAAAGAAGACAGCAATTTAATTATTACAACACCTAGCAATAAGCAATCAAAAAAGAGGAAAATAGATGATGATTCTCGATAATTTTTTGTTTTATTTTTTTGTTTCTTGTTATAATAAATTTTTTTTTCTATTTCAAAGCATTCACTGATTGTGAGGATTGAGGGTCAGAGTTTCTTACTTTTAGTATTTTTTCAAAATTATTTTTTTCAAATTTCTTAAATTTTTGTCATAATGTTTTGATAAATGACAGTTTATCCACGTACTATTTCCTCTTATAGATAAAAATTAAATTTTTTTGGTTAAGTGAGAAAGATTTCTGTTTTACTCATTTACTTTTATGTTCAAGGTTCAAACCTTTTAGTTGCAATGTAATTTTTTCTAATATTTGAAAATTTTTCTGTTTAGATAGATTTCTAAGTTAAATGCCATTAGGAATATTTGGAGGCAGTAGCAAAGATGGTGGACCGAAGCCTCAACCTTTGACAAGTGAAGAATCAATTTTGAAGAAGGAGAAAAATGTGGGAAGCTCTAGCAATACACCAAGTGAAATTAAAGATACAAAAGGTTCTGTAGTCAAATTGAATAAGAAAACATACACCGTGGAAAGAAAACTTGCCGAAGGTTTTTTGAAATATTTTTTTTCAAATTATTAAATTTAGGTGGATTTGCTATTGTCTATTTGGTAGTGGACAAGCACAATCGAAGTTATGCACTAAAGCGGCAATTAATTAGAGACGATCAAAGACAGGTTGAAGCTAGCAGAACAGAGAGCCAAATTGTTGTATGTTTATATATTAAATTATAACCCCTTAATTTGTTGCTCTAGGGTTTATCCAATGAGGTTCCACCCACAATCTAATTGTTGGTTGATCCACCTCTGGTTTTTTAGTACTAATTGTAAATGTTTTCATTCCCATGTTACAGTGAAAAACTTTAAAGACATTTAGGTCATAATCATTGGGACTATCGATTACATTAAAAAATTTTTAAAATCTTTCTAGAAAAATTTGAGTGGTCATAAGAATATAATTGAGTATGTTGACCATCAACTTGTGCTTGGGAAAACAGGAGTATATGATTACATGTTGTTGACTACTTACTATCCAGGTTATTTCAAAACTTGTTTTGATATTCATAAAACCTATTTCAGATAATGTTCTACAACTAATGAATTCTCGAATTTTAGTCAATAAATGGCTTTCTCATAATGAAATTTTGGATATTTTTTGTGATATTTGTGAGGCAGTTGGTATATTTATTTTTGCTTTTTTTGTTTATATATTAATTTTAGCACGGCTTCATCATTCAAAAACACCGGTCATTCATCGTGATCTCAAGGTTCTATTTATAATTTATTTAAATTTATTCTCGTATTAAATTCAAAATTAGGTAGAGAATGTTCTAATTGATCGAGGATCCAGCAAAGAGCGTCCAATTTATATTCTTTGTGATTTTGGAAGTGCAACAACAAAAGTTTTGAGCAAAGAACACTATTCTCATGCATTTATGGAAGAAGAAATTCAACGTTATACAACTCTTAGTTATCGTGCCCCTGAAATGATTGATTTATTTTCGGGAACTCCTATAGGTATTTTTTCATTATAAACATATTTTATTTTTGGGTTTTAAGATACAAAAAGTGATATTTGGGCCCTCGGAATTATGCTTTACAAATTATGTTATTTTTCCCTACCTTTTGGAGAATCAGCTTTAGCAATACAAGGAGGATTGTTTTCTTTCCCAGAAGTGCCACAAATACAGGATGGAATTAAAGCAATGATAAGTTAGTTTGAATTATATTTTTTCTCTTATACTTTTATCTCCTATATTTTGTATTTCCAGATTTTCTCGATATTTAGTTTTGACATTGTAAGGAATAAGAGTTTGAAATAGACCTCAATTTAAATTCCTCCCCAAATAAAGGAATTTATTTTTATTTTTCGATTTCTTAAAAGGATTTCTTTAATAATCTTCTAAACTTAAAAGCATATTTTTTGTTATTTTTCAGATCTCATGCTCACAATGAGTGCAAAACACAGGCCAAATATTTATCAAATGTCGTATCTAGCTTTTTCTGCATCAGGAAAGAAATGTCCAGTATTTAATGTTGAGGTTATATATTAAAAAATATATTTAATTAAAAAATCCTTTACTAGAAATGTGCAAGAATCGAACTAAATGAAGCTATACAAATTTTGCACCTTCGTGACAAGCTTGGCTCAAATTATTCTCGGTTATTCGAAAAGGCTATAAATGATTTTGAGGCACAGAAGAGACGGCACACAATGCCTAATCAACCAGTTTCTAAAGAAGAAAATCAAACAAGCATTCCTTCAACAAGCAGCGAAACAGCCCATCCAACTCCATCAATTTCATCAAAACTTGCGGAAGGTGTTATTGTAAACACAACAACAAAAGAAATTGGTGAAATGCATCCAAGGTCTGCCACAACATCTGTAAATCCTCGTTTAAGACCAAAACCAAATCAAGCCTTCTCAACCCCAAATCAAAAAACAACAAATTTAACTGAAGTTGATTCTTTTGTCAACAAAAGTAAACAAATTAGTGGAAATATTAGAGGGGAATCGTCAACCTCATCACAAATGGTTGAACAACAAACTGGAGATGAAGATGATTTAACATTACATTTGAGCGCTTTTCAACCTTATTCTCTAGCACAGGAAGAGAAAAAGAACAATAATTCTTTTAAAATAACAGAAAATACTGCAAGAATATTTGAAGTATCAAATCCTTTTGCACAACAATGTTCTTCTTCGTCTGATTTTAATAATATGGATGATAAAATTTTTGGTGAACATTTTGATGCTATTAGAAGAGATCGTGTTAATTTCCAAGAGGAGGATAACTTAATTTTTGGTATATTTTTTTATTAATTCTTTTCTATCCAATTTTGTTTTTTGCGGAAAATTAATTGGATAGGAATGGACAGGGAATAATGTAGAAAGGGACCAAACCATAGCATTTCGACTGTGCCACACCCAAAACCACGATGATTTCTTTTTACTAATTTTTCTATCTCCAATTGTAGAATCTAGAGTTCTTTTTCCTTTTAGGGGAGGGGGGGGGGCTCACATGCAATCTGACATGAGATTATTTTTGAAATAACTTTGCATGTATTTAGAAACAAACAAATACTGTGAAAGAATATCCAACGATTTTGTAACAGAATGTGGCACCTCATCAAGAAATAACTTTTCAAATCTTTCTAAACAAGTTAATCGTGATTGGGAAACAATAGAGAAAAGAATGGGAGACGATCCTTTTATGAATGCTCCACCTATATTACCAAGTCAATATTTACATCGTAATTAAACTTTATTTTTTGTATATCGAAATATACTTGAATATTTAGTTATATGTATTATTCTGCTTGTACATATTTTTATTTAAATTTATTGAGTCAGATCTCATTATAAGATATATCCTTGTGTCTGAAAAATTGAAGCCAATTATGAGGGTATTTTACAGTGAGATCCGACCGGAGCGTTTTATATTGCCAAAAGCTTGTAATGCCAAACCCCCAAAAACTGTTGAAATGCCAAAACATGGAAAAAAGCTTGTAATGCCAAACCCCCAAAAACTGTTGAAATGCCAAAACATGGAAAAAAGCTTGTAATGCCAAACACCCAAAAGATGTTGAAATGCCAAACCGTGGAAAATAGCTTGTAATGCCAAACCCCCAAGATATGTTGAAATGCCAAATGTTATTCCAACACAACGGGGGATGTTGTTCCGATGATGGGGGAAGTTGTTCCAATGACGGGGGAAGTTGTTACAATGACGGGGGAAGTTGTTCCAATGACGGGGGAAGTTGTTCCAATGACGGGGGAAGTTGTTACAATGACGGGGGAAGTTGTTCCAATGACGGGAGAAGTTGTTCCAATGACGGGGGAAGTTGTTCCAATGACGGGGGAAGTTGTTCCGACGACGGGGGAAGTTGTTCCAATGACGGGAGAAGTTGTTCCAATGACGGGGGAAGTTGTTCCAATGACGGGGGAAGTTGTTCCAATGACGGGGGAAGTTGTTCCAATGACGGGGGATGTTGTTCCGACGACGGGGGAAGTTGTTCCAATGACGGGAGAAGTTGTTCCAATGACGGGGGAAGTTGTTCCAATGACGGGGGAAGTTGTTCCAATGACGGGGGATGTTGTTCCAATGACGGGAGAAGTTGTTCCAATGACGGGGGAAGTTGTTCCAATGACGGGGGAAGTTGTTCCAATGACGGGGGATGTTGTTCCGACGACGGGGGAAGTTGTTCCAATGACGGGAGAAGTTGTTCCAATGACGGGGGAAGTTGTTCCAATGACGGGGGAAGTTGTTCCAATGACGGGGGATGTTGTTCCGACGACGGGGGAAGTTGTTCCAATGACGGGAGAAGTTGTTCCAATGACGGGGGAAGTTGTTCCAATGACGGGGGATGTTGTTCCGACGATGGGGGAAGTTGTTCCGATGACGAGGCATGTTGATCCGTCAACGGGGGAAGTTGGTCCGTCAACGGGGGATCAACATCACACTTCCCCCATCACTGGAACAAACGTCCCCGTCATTTGAACAACATCCCCCGTTGTTGGAACAACTTTCCCTATAGTCGGAACAACTCCCCCAACCGTTGGAACAATTTTCCCCACAATTTGAACAACATTCCCCGTAGTACCGGCCCCTCCCCGCATTCCCGGCCTAGAGTTTTTTTTATTTGGCATTTCAAGCTTTTTTCCACGGTTTGGCATTTCAACAGCTTTTGGGGGTTTGGCATTACAAGCTTTTTGCATTACAAGTTTTGGCATTACAAGCTTTTGGCATTACAAGCTTTGGCATTACAAGCTTTTGGCATTATAACATCATACCGATCCGACTGTATTTAAAATTGAGATAAAATGATTTGAGACATTTAATGCTTATTTACATATGTACTATATTTGTTAGTAATTCTTAATATACATCTTAACAATTTGGAAATACTTTTCCACTATCTTTGTTCTACAATTAAGTTTTAACGAAATGGGAGAAAATTCAAAATTTATTTTTTTCTGAAATTTTTTGGGGAATGAATGTTAGCTAGCTTTGAATGGCAATAACTTTTTTTATGATTGATCCAATCCGAATTGAACTTATATCATTCTAAATCCCTTGATAGGGAGCTTTAAAGATAACCTAGTTGAGGTGACTTTTTTATGAGAGTCGAACTTGATCTATCTAGTTAGAAAAAGCTACAGATTATCGAAGGCTCTAGAATGAAAGATCAAGCATAAAATAGTTATACCCATCAAGAGAAACTCAAATGACCCTAACACGTTTCTCGGAATTCTTTAATCGATTCGCATTTTTATATTAGAGTTTTGTTTTTTTTTCAGTTCATTTTCAGTACTACTATTTTGTTCATCCGAATTATTAGAAGATTCATTCATTTAACATAGCTGATAACCAAAATGGCTGAAGAAGACGTTGATGATCTTTTAGAGGAGGCTTTCAAGAGCATAGACGAGGTTTTTTACATTTTAAATTTAACATACTTTTTAATATAAGGCGGAAAAGAATGGCAAAACCATGAGCGACGTTATAATGAAGAAGGCAAAGGATGTCGGAGTCAAAGTGTATGTTTTTTTATAAATACTGATAATGTTAGCTATTATAGACCTGATGCCAAACGTAAGCATAGCAGAAGTCGTAGTGGAAGCCGTGATCGAAAACGCAGGCGAAGCAGGAGTCGTGAGAAAAAGACGAGGTTCTTTTTTGCTTAATACAGATTGCTTTTGAGTTCATAACTTCAGTAATTATTGAGTTTATTTTTAGAGTATCTTCAAAGGAGCGGAGAAGGCGTACACCATCTGACGATGATAGAAGGATCCGTCGTCGATCTGGGTAATTTTTTAAATTATTTCTTGTGTACATAAAATAAGTTATGGGAACAATCACTTATTAGCATATATATCTCTTAGATCTTGACTATTCCATCATTCTTTGTTGATGGCTCGAACAATGAGCGAATGACGGTGCGGTATGTGCTGAAAGGAAACCAAGCTATCCTTTTCATTCTACAATCATATTTTTTGTATAATTCAAATAAAAGTGTTCTCTCCTTTTATTTTTTAATATTTAATTCCAGGTAGATTAAGGTGATCACAAAATCTTTAATTGTTTTACGTTTTCGAAACGTTTACTTAACGATTTTTCTATTTTCTAATAATGTTTTTCAGTTCGCGCGAACGTCGTCGCCGTTCTCGTTCTAGGTCTTACGATCGCTTTAGACGACGAAGAAGTAGAACACCAAGGCGCAGCAGAACTCCTAGAAGAAGTCGAACTCCAAGACGCAGCCGATCAAGATCTCCATGGGGAGTGAGGCGGCGTTCTCCCATTCCTGCCCGTCGTCTACCAGGACCTGAGCGCCGCGATGTGTGAGTATTTAGGGTTTAAAATTTTTAATTCTACTAATTTCGCGCAGACTTTCACAACTTAGCATGCCCTTCGAACCGCGACGCTCGCCGCCACGAGACGCGCAGATGGACTTGACAACCGAGGAGAGAGACGAACGTACAATCTTCATTCTTCAGGTCTTCGACATGCATTGGAATGAGAGGTTAAGTTAATAAAAATGTTTTTAGCTTGCTCGTCAAACACGTCCTAGGGATTTGGAGGAATTTTTCTCAAGCGTTGGGCACGTCAGAGATGTTAGGATTATCACTGATACAAAAACTAGACGTTCAAAAGGCATTGCATATGTAGAGTTTTGGGAGCGTGAGGCTGTTCCATTGGTTTGACTTTTAATTCTGAAAATTTTGAATTATTGTATTGTTTTGTAGGCTATGGGTTTGAATAATCAAAAACTCAATGGCGCTCCACTGATAATCCAAATGTCTTTGGCCGAGAGAAATAGGGTGGCAACTAATGTTACTGCAACTACTATAGGTAAAATTATTTTTCAAATAATTTTTAACTTTATTTTTTTTAAGGACTTGGTCTTGGGTTATCTACTGGTCCTATAAAAATTCGAGTTGGCAATTTGCATCCAAATATAACAGATGAAATGCTTGGCGCCATTTTTGAGCCATTTGGAAGGGTTTTTATTTTATTGTTTTTATAAATTTATTTGACAGGTTGATCGCTGTTTTGTTCAAAAGGATCCAACGGATATTACTTGTAATACTGGATTTGTTATTGTAATCATTTTTATTTTTCTAATACATTGGTACCTCACTATAAGAGGTAGCTCCCCATTTTTCCATTTCCCTCCATATATTATAGTGAGGTTCGTGTATTTACTAATTTTTTTTCAAAGTTTCGTCATGGCGAAGAAGGAAAAAGAGCTATGGAACAATTAAACGGATTCGAACTTGCTGGCCGAAGTATTCGTGTCTCAACAGTTGAAGAGAATGAGCCATCAACTACAATTATTAAACAAGAAGAACAACCAACAGTTTCAATCAAACAAGAAAATGTACAAATTGATGAAACAAATTCAACATCTCGATTACAATTAATTGCGAATTTAGCAAAAGGACGTTCGGATGTTGAAGTTCCCAAAGTTACACAAGAGGCAATTGCTGCACAACAGGCACATAAACAAAATGCTGATAATATTCCTTCTTTTGCCACTCAATGTTTTATGCTCTCAAATATGTTTGATTTAGCTAAAGAAACTGAACCAGGATGGGATTTGGATATTCGTGATGACGTTGTTGAAGAATGTAGAAATCATGGAGGTTTTTTTAAATAATTTTTATAAATGTTTAAAACACTTAAAGGCTGTGTTCATGTATATGTTGATAAAGCTTCACAACAAGGAAATGTTTATGTAAAATGCCCAACTGTAGCTATTGCACACAAGTCTGTGGTTGCACTGCACGGTCGTTGGTTCGCAGGTTAATTGAAATTTATTAATTATTTATAGGAAATTAATCCCCCTCCCCCCAGAAAAAATCCCTCGTCTAAATAAATAAATAATTAAGTTTAATTTTTTTCTAATTTTCAGGTAAAGTGATTACTGCAAATTATGTCCCTGTAACCTCCTACCACGAACTTTTTCCTGATGCGAGAACATCGAGCGCTATTTTACAACCAAGGCCCTCTTAAAGTTTAATGATTTATTTAATTGTGTATTTCGAAGTTTTTTTTATTTAAATAAATATTCTCTTTTATTTTTTGTGAAGGAAAATTGTTTTTTAAATTTAAATATAAAAATATTTTTGTCTCGTTATATTTAAAATTTATTTTTTTTACAAAATTGTTCTAAACGAGCCAATGACAATAGGTAAAATAATATCAAGATTTTGTTCTATTTCGATTCTGAAAAAGTAACTAAAATTTATTAAATCGTTCTCTTTTGCCGAGGTTGGTGGTAAATTCTTTGGAATTTGAAATTTTATTTGTTGTTCTGATTCTGACAATATTTGACAATTTATATTTGAATTATTCTTAAAATATTGGTTATTTTTTAATAGTTAATTTTAATATTTACATAGTTCTGTATAGCCCTTGTCACCGATCTTTTGTCCCATGTGTTTGGAGTATCTTTTCTACATGCCACAAAATCCACCTAACATAAGTAATATAATATGTAAATAGTACATCAGGGTTCCGATCAACACTGCCAATCAAAAGTACAAAAATCTCGATTTAAAAGTACTTAGGGACTAAATTTCCAAATAAAAAGTACACTCCAAATTAAAGCGCCGCAGGCGAAAATTTTGGGAATTTTAAGGTTAAAATGTCGATTTAAAAGTACAATACTTTTAAAAAAGTACGAATCGGAACCCTGTAATACCAAATTCTAGATAATTAATTACTAACCTGTTGACAAATTGACAGTTTAACCCCTACAATTTTAGTTTTTTATTTTAAAAAATTAAAATATTACCTACATTTTATTTGGTTGTTTTTGTTTGATTTCCTTGCTGTTTGTTCCACAATTAAGGTTAAATTACTGGTTTCCCCTTAAAAATGTTTTCAAACAAAATTTAGTTTAATTACCTGGGAGAAGGCCTAAAGATGGGCTTTTAATTGTTATTTTCCTTTTTTCTTTTGAATTTCTATTTAAAAATTATTTTTTTAAATAATTTGTAGAAAAAATACCCAAAACACAAACAAACTCGATCGGTGACAATTTCTTCTGTCGAATGTGCAGGGTTTAAAAAGTGGGGAGAATCTAGGCTTAGAAAACTTCTTACAAGAAATTCAGATTCTTTTAAACAAATTTTTAAAATTAAAATGTTTATGGATTAACCTGATACAATTTCACTTTCCCCACAATCCTCAACAATATCCTTTTTAATATTTTAATTTTTTCTTCTCAAATATTTTTATTTAACTCACTAATGTTGCCACAATTGAATATTTTACATTTCCATAACCCTCTTCATAATAACTTGAGATTGCATTCATTGGAACCTTTTAATGAATTTAGGATTTTTTTTGGGTTTTTTTGGCCCCCCCTTTTTTAGAGAATTTAAACAATTTACTTTAACTGAAAATTCCAAATTATATTCTCCACAATTTAATTCCATTGTTTCATCACAGTAATTTGTTAAATTTCTAAAAATATTTTATTCAAGATATCTTTTAAAACAAACCCAGTTAAATCATTGTACATATCTAAAATATTTTCTTTACTTTCATATTCAGCATTAGCATATTGCCAACCGGTATAAATTGAACCGACAGTTCTAAGGGAGAGACGAACAATTCTCGTCTTTTCTCTATTATATATATTTATTTTACCCTGAAATTTTTATAATTAAGTTTCGACCCCTTATAGGACCGGGAAAAATCGTATTTATTATAGTCAAGTACCTAAATAAAAGAAATACCCGAGTGAAGGTCTCATTCTCTCTCATTTAACTATAATTTTAATAATAAAAAATAACCTTTATTTCCTCTCCTGCCAAATAAACATAATTTTCATCATCCAAATTTTGAGGTTTTTCTATTTTTAATTCAAAATTCTCTATTTTCATTAATTTTATTGGAAAGGTTTTTTTAGTTTATTTAGGTTTTATTTTTGCTTTTTATGCTTTTCATAAGTCAATATATCTAAAAAAATGTAGAGATTTTTCCTATGGGAATTGCCCATATATGTAAATATCTCCGTTTAAGGATAAACCTTTAAAACATTTTAGATAGGGGTTTAAGGTCTAAAAAATAAAATATGGTCACGATAATCATTAGACCATCCTCAGTTTTTTGTTCCTCAATTTTTAATGAGAAATTTGAGAGAATCCTCTTTTAATTCGTCTTCGGTGGGGCGCGGGTTCGATTCCTTCAGGAGCCAACTTTTCTCAACAATTACTTTATTTTTTTCATTTTTAAGAATATTTATTAAATAAAAAAATATTTTAATGGAAGAATCTACTGATAAAAGACAGCAATTATCTTCGGAGGATTTAAATGCCGTAATAGATAGGTGAATAATCCACACTTTAATAAATTTTGAATTATATTTTCAGTCAAAAAATTCAAAAATCTGAAAGGAAAAGGAGAGCAAGAGAATCATCTACATCCTCCTCCTCCACATCTTCTTCTGGTTCGTCCTCGTCTGGTTCATCAGGTTCCTCAACTGGAAGTAGTTCTAGTGAGGGAGAGGAAGGAGAAATTAAATGTTTCTTTAATTATATTTTAAATTAATTATTTATTTTTAGATAAAAGAATTAAAGTTGTGGTTAATAATCCTTCAAGTTCTATTGGAAGTTTACAACAAAATGTGGAAAAAAGACAGTTGACTAATACAGAAAAGAGGTAGCGTATTAGTTTTTCTTTAGCTATATAAAATTACAAAATATTATAATAAAGCGGTTGTGGGCGGAAAAGTCGGAAATCCGTGGACTAATTTTTAAAAATTAAAATACGATTATTGGGTATTTCTAATAATATCTGGTAAATAAAAATATAGACTTGTAAACATTCTAGTTAAAGTATTGCCCAAGTATTTCCATCCGCAATTGTCCATTAGTTAAAAAAAGTTCAATCTTTGGTGAGACCTTGATCTACGGCAGCCTAGTCTTCGACATTTTATCGGATACCATTGTTACGTTTAGTTTTGACTTTGCAGTAGAGTGGCCTATACCCTCAGATTTAAAATATTTTTAAATCAGAATAATACATATTTTTTAAGACTTGAAACAGTTCCTCAATTTTTAATGAGAAATCTGGGTATTTCCGTTGAAAATGAACTTTCAATGATTTTTAAAAGAGATTTAAATACAATAAATAAATTGTTGAATGGAAAACAATTAACTGCTTTATATGGAAAGAAACCAATAAATTTTGTTTTTGGTGGATTAACTTTGACGGGGGCTAATAGAACATTTGCTTTTATGAAAGGGCCAACTGTACAACAATATATTTTAAAGAAACAACAAATTACTTTAAAACATCCTGAATGGCCCTGGTAAATTAAGAAATTAAAAAGTTCCTTAGATTCTGACTTTGCTTTGGACTGGATACCTTTCTAAATTTTATATTGAAGTGGGAAATTGGGGAATTTTATTTGGAAATGTGAATTTAAATTAGTGGATAAGAACTAATTCCAATTAGTTGGAAGAACCTGAAAACCCTTTTTTTTCTGATTCCAAGTTTGGAAAAGATGAAAAATAGGCCCCTCCATTGTTTGTGAAAACATTTAAAAGTTACAACTATTTTTTATTTTCTTTTAAAAATACCTTTCCCCCATCCTTTTAATTTTAACTAAAGTTTAAAAAATAATTTAACTTATTTAAATAAAAATATTTTCTTTTAGTTTAATTCAAATTGGAGGAGGGAATCACAAAAGTTATTATCCAATAGAAATTATAAATATTTGTTGATTAATTGACACATATTTTGAAATTATTATTTTGACTTTTAATTTATGTTAGGTACTTTAAAAATAACCAAAAAAATATTTTTTCTCCAATAACAGTTTTTATATATGTATGACCTCACTATAAAATATACTCAATACTAGATAAAGCTAGATTTAAAATATGTACATTTTTTAAAAATTTTATTGGTCATTGGATGAGAGGGCTAAGCTATACCTCCCCTAGTTACCCCCTATTTGAAATTCACTTCATTAAAAGATGCTTTTAGCCCCAAGAGTGTATTTTATAATGAGGATTTCCTTAATTATTTTCTTTCCAAATATCTGACAATCTCCACCATTTTATATTCTTTAGCTATATCCAAAGGTGTTTTGTTATTATTATCAGCTAAATTTATGTTGAAATAAAGCTAGAAAAAAAAGAAAATAAAATTAAATATTAAAAAAATACTTTGCTTTCAATTAAAGCTTTAACACAATTTAAAGAACCAGAAATAACAGCACAATGAAGGGCAGAACGTCCAAGATTGTCTATATGTTCGGGGGTGATATGTAGGGATTGGAGATAAAAAATAGAAAAATTTTGGAATTTTTTAAAAAATTATTTTGTTTACCATAGCTTCGACTGTTGATACTTGCCCTCCTAAACAAGCGTAGAAAAAAGGGGTTCTAAATAATTTAGAAGTCCTGTTATAATCAACTAATTAATTACCTATCCATTCCATCCAAAGGTGGGGATAAGTGTCCACGTTGATACCCAAACCAAAGGACTAATTCACTTTAAAATTAAACATAAACAAAAATTTAATTTTAACAACCTATTTCCCTGCCCAGCAGCTAAATGTTCGGGTGTTGCCCCATTCTCATCAGTTTCTACCTTTTTAAATTCATTAAAAAAATAATTTCAAAATATTTATTACATTTAATGTATTATTGCTTGCTACAAGTAATTTACACATTTCTACTCCACCTCTTAATGCTGCTAAATGAAGGCAATTTCTGTGGGTAATTTTGGAGATTATTTACATACAGGGTGCGTAAAAAGTTCCCGGAATTAATCAAAATGGATTTATTTTCTTGTATATCATAATAAAAATAAGTTTACACATACAAAACGTTTATAAGGATCATGTAAATAAATAATCATAACAAATTTTCAAAATGAGATCCGACAGCCGAGATACACGCACCCAAACACAGCCGAAAAATTCCTTCGTTGGTCGCGCACCCCTCTTCTGTTATTGATCCCCAGGAATATTTTAATGCCGTCCTAAGTGGCTCTGTTGACGTGTGTCGTGTGCAGGGGAGTCTCTGCTACAACATAGACCAGACCGAAAATCCATTGGATTGAGGACCGGTGAGTTACAGGGCCAAATATCCTTTCCCCAAAATCCATGAAACAACTTTGCATTGAGGTTAATTGTTGTTTTAGCTCCATGTGCTGGTACCAAGTCCTGTTGTAAAATAAAATCATTTCCACCAAAATTTTGATGCTTCCAGGGAAGTAAAACATTCATCAAAATTTCATTTTGATAGACATAAGCATTGATTTTGACGTTTTTGGCGATAAAAACCAACGGTGTCTTCCAATGGCACAAATTCCTCCCCGAATCATCACAGATTGCGGGAAAAGTCTTTTTTACACACCAATTAGTCTCACGGACTTATTGGTGTCAGTTTCTGATATTGTGACAGCGTTGGACGGTAAAAATTTTCATTTACAGTCGTCGACATAAAGATAGGGACAAGAGTAATTTAATTGAAAATTAACTATTTTTCAGTCAAAAAATACGTTCTATATATCAATCGAAAGCTCTATTCGTATCTCAGTTGACATGTTTCTGCATTTTTCATGAAATTGAAAATTGGCCGAGATAATCCGGATCTACCGGATATACCAAATCCCATATCCTCGGGAAAATTTTTCTGAAAAAATTTGACAAACCCAGTTGATAAAGCATATTTTTGTGAGTATAATCCACAAAACCGCTTAAAAATATCTTTTTCCAGTCCTGAGATATGATTTTTTGAAAATGGCATTTTTAGCCTATTTTTGCAAAAAATTCAATTTTTAAGGGAAAAATGCCAATTTCAAAAAATCATATCTCAGGACTGGAAAAAGATATTTTTAAGCGGTTTTGTGGATTATACTCACAAAAATATGCTTTATCAACTGGGTTTGTCAAATTTTTTCAGAAAAATTTTCCCGAGGATATGGGATTTGGTATATCCGGTAGATCCGGATTATCTCGGCCAATTTTCAATTTCATGAAAAATGCAGAAACATGTCAACTGAGATACGAATAGAGCTTTCGATTGATATATAGAACGTATTTTTTGACTGAAAAATAGTTAATTTTCAATTAAATTACTCTTGTCCCTATCTTTATGTCGACTACTGTAAGTAAACAACACCCGTTTAGCCGACCAGCTGCGACCAAGCGCTTCAAAAAACGACATTTTTGGGGGAGTTTTGAGAGGACTTTTTGACATCTATTCTCTGAAAATCTTTTATAGACTAAATGTTTTCTGAACCAAAAATAGTGCTGAATATGATTGTGAACGAATTTTGTTTTAATAATCAATTTTTAAACCCAATAGTTGAAATTTTAAAAATTCCGGGAACTTTTTACGCACCCTGTATATTTTAAATTTTTTTACCTTTTAAAATGATCTTTACAAGCAAGTAATTGACTAGCTCTAGTTTTGTTGCTTAACTATAATTAATTTTTTAAAATCTTTTATCCCCCCTTCTAACCATTTGTAGCACCAATTTTTCATTTTGTCCAATAACTGCCCACATAAATGGAGTTCTTCCTTCACTATCTACAGGTTGTTGTTGTCCTTCCCTATCACATAAGACAGCCTTAAGTGTTGAAATAGAGCCACATGCTGCTGCATAATGTGCCGGGGTTACATTAAAACGATCCTTTTTTAAAAATAATTTTACAAAAAAAATTCCTAAAAACTCTTGTATCATTTGTGGCACCAGCTTGAAGGGTTAAAAGTTTCGCAATTTCAGTTCTATCATAAAGTACAGCATACTGTTTTTAAAATAAATATTTTTTAATTCACAAAAAAATGAGGGAATTTTATTTAAATTAAGAAAATATTTACGTGTAATGGAGTTCGAGAATCGTGATCAAAAATCTAAAATTAAAAAATTAAATTAAAATATAACAGGCAAGTGAATTCCATCAAACATTGAGACATGACTTTTCTTTCATACAGCCTTAAAACCCCGTTTTTTCGTAAATATTAGATAAATTTCCCCATTACATAAATTATTAATTTTACTTGAGCCCCAGCTGGTCCCATTGCCTCAAGAAGTTTTTCAAGTACCGGACGATTATTAGCCATGACTGAAATAAAAGTATAATTATTTTATAAGGTTCAATTAATTAATTTACCGGCAATATGTAAAGGTGTCCATCCTTGTTGGTCTCTAGCTGTCGCGGCTATAGACTTTTTTGCCATTAAAAGTTTAACAACATTTGTGCCTAATAATTTTGGGTATTTTAGAAATTTAAAAATTCTAACCGACACGACACCAAGCGGCCAAATGAAGAGGTGTCCGACCTAAGCTAAAAATGGATATATTTTTAAAGAATTGTCTCTAAATTTTTCAAACTCTCTCACTCCTCTAAATCTCTCAAAAACTGAGTTAAGATGCATTATAGAAAATTGGATATCCTCCGATCGGGAGCCGAGTTTTAATTATGAAAATATTCACAAAGGCCCAAGAACTAGTCATTAATTTATTCCAAATTTCTCTCTTTACTTATCACGAGAATCAACAGGTAATCTCCAATTAGGCGCCAATAACAATTCGCAGCATTGTTCTGACCCTACAGCTGCAGCCAGATGTAAAGGAGTCATTCCCTCTTTGTCAATAGCTTTTAATTGAAGATCTTCAGATTCTAATATTTCCAATAAAAGCTTTAAAAAGCAACAATTAATTTAATATTTTTCTAAAATTTAAAAAAACTTTTAATATTTTTGATGATTTTTGTGTTGCTGCTAAATGTAAAGAATTAATTCCTTTTAAATCTTTTTCCAATATTTTATCTCTTGGCAATAATTGTAATAATTCTTGTACTGAATTTGTTGCTTGTCTTTGTACTGCCAAATGTAAAGGATTTTGGCCTTTACTGTCTTTTATATTTGCCAAAGGAATTCCCCAACTTTAAATTAATTAATTACAAGGGACCAATAATTCCACTTGCCTTTGTAATAAAGTAAAATGCCCCCCTCTTTCAGCTACCAAAATTGCTAAAAACAAAGGTTTATGTTCACAACATTGAACAGCATTTGTTGCAGGTTTTGAACGTTCAAGAGAATCGAAAGAGAATTTCCCAAATTGTCCATCATCATTATCTCCAGCCGGAACAGCCATTCCCGCAGTTGCCCATAATTGATTAGCTGAATGGCTAAATTGGCCAATCAAAGCTTCGGATTGGACAACAGAAGGAGGGGCTAGACAACGAATTAATTGGCGAAGAAATTTTGGTGGTTGATTGTGTAAAGCCCAACGATGGACTTGGGCAGGGGATTCGCCAGCAAGTACTCGCTCAGCCAAGGCCTCACATGGACACTGAAAAATATTAAATTCGGAGAGTTATCTCTCTTATGACTAATATTGGGGAGAAAATACTAGAAAATTAAGGTAGCCAATTAATTGTAATAAAATAAAAGAATCGTTCCTCTGATTCCCTCTTGGAGAGATTGAAAAAATAATTTGTATATTGTTTGAAAGGGGAAATGAACGAGACTAGCTAGCATATGGGGGAATAATAGACAGACGACCGCGGTACTTAAATGTCTTGTCCTAAGTATTAACCTCCTTAGAAAATAAACCCCAACAATTATACATATAATTTTCTAGCCTATGAGGTGTAACTTATAATGAGGTAAGTTAATTTAAAATGTTAGACTTTTTCTGGTAAATCTTGAATTCCTTGTTGTGTTTGAGTTCTTCGTCTAAATGCACATTGTTGATCTCTTTCGTAATCAGTTGTTAATTTCATTTTTATTTTTAATTATTAATTTCTTTTTTAAAAATAAAAGAAAGAAAATATTAATTAATTAAATATACTAAACTAGTTTTTAATTGATTAATTTGATTTTATATTTATTTATTTTTTGCGCAATAATTTAAAAGAAAAAATGGAGTGTTTAATATCTGATAAATATTTTCAAATAAAAATCCTTTTTGTTTTAAAATTTATTCTCTCCTAAATGTTTTCCCAAACTATTTTTTATAGCTCTCAATAATTAATAAATTTAAAGATTAAATAATTAACTAGTTAATAAAATATTTATTTATTTCTATTAAATTCACAATTTTCCAATAATTAAAGCATTAATAACATCACCAGATTTAATTCCACTAAAATTTCCTTTCTTTTCTTCCTCCTCTTTTGAAGGTAATTCCAACAATAAATTAGCCGATCGAGTAGATAATAAATTAGAAGAAATTTTGTTTTTAAATAAACATTTAACTTTTGGAATTGAAGGAATTGAATTTAATTTGTTTGGATGTAAATAAATAGCTCGACAATATTCTGGTCGGGAATCGAGTAAAGGAATTGAATTGGACAACTTTTTTTTTTGAAAATAAAATATAGTTTTGTTTAGAAAATATACCTCAACATTAATTTTTATATTTTCCCAATTAATGTCTAAACCAGCAATTCTTCGTAATTGGGGGATAACAAATAAATGGGAAGTAACAAATGCAGATACTGGATTGCCTTAAGAAAAAGATTATGAAAGAAAATATCATTTTAAGTTTTGAGATGGGGGGGGGTATCTGAAATAGATAGAGAGTATTCCCGATTAGGTAACCCTTCCACCCTCCAATTCTAAAATTGAGATGTACCCATTAATGATTAAATTCTTCCTTTAAACAAAGAAACCCCCACCTGGCAATCCAAAAACTAATTTTGGCCGTCCATCCAATCCAATTCCCGAAGCAAAAGTAGAAGGCAACCCTGGCTTCATATAAACACGTCCAAAATTTATTTTTAAATTAAAATGTTTATTTAAAGTTGATTTTAATAAATCCTTTAATTTGAAAAGAAAAATTTAAATTTAATTTAAAAATACTTTCTCTCCCATAGAAACACCTCCACTTATTACAAGTATATCACTTTTAGAAAAAGCATTCTTTATTGAATTAATTAATTCTTCTTCACTAGAAAATAATTATTTTTTAAATTTTTGACTAAAAAAGGATTTGTATTTTAAATCCATTACAGATAGTCTCATTATAAATATCCCTCTATCCCCCTACTTTTCCATTTAATTTATTAGTTCAATTTACCTATCTTTAGCTATGCCACAATCAATTGGATCAAATCCTTCTTCCAATAAAAGAGAAATCAAAACAGGTCTATTTGTATCGATAACCCCATCAATTGGCCATTCATTCTCCCCATTATTAGGCAAATTAATAAAATCAATTAATTCATCGCCGGAAGATAAAACACAAATTTTTGGTTTGGAATAAACAAGAACCTTTTTAAGGAAATAATTTTTAAACATCCAAACATTTAATTATAAGATACACTCATTATTGGATATACCCCCATAATTTAAGATACGTTTAGAAATTTGATTGGCTACTGAGTTGGAAGGGGGTATACAAAAACATTACATACCTCTATTTAAGATATTAAAAGCTCATTATAAGCCCTTTATCTTATATTAAAGTTTGAATGTATAAAGAAAGCACCGTTTTTCTTCCACTCAAAGCAAGTAGGCCAATTTCGGATGCCCCCAAACGAATACCTTTTGCTAATAATAATTCATCTTTGGCTATGTCACTGCCAATCTCTCTAAAAAATATATAATTTATCTTTACATAAACAATCTCTCTCTCCTTTTTTAAATTTAAACTTCACCGAATATTCTGTCCTGATTTTGGGTCAATTCCAATATCTATCAAAATCTCTTTACCGTCATCCTAAATTAGTCAAAAAATTTTATTCTACTAATTCCCCACACAAACATCTTCTTCCAACACTTCAGTATCCTCCAACCTCACAACAGCATCTGCCTCTTCAGGCAATTTAGCCCCAGTACTTATTCGAACACATTGGCCAGACTCCAACATTTTATGTCCATTTGACGTTGCCTTTCCTGCATTGAAAGCACCAACAACTTTGCGAGGTCCTTTTCCATCAGAGGCTAAAAATTATTTTTAAAATTAATTTTGGAGTTATTATCTCAATTAGTTATTATCTTCAAAACCCTCTTCAATTACTTAATTTGAATCTACAACTAAATCCAATTGTTATTAAATTATTTGTTTTTCTGAAATTTAGTTGACCTCTAAGTAGGGGGAGATAGGGGATGGAGGGAGTTGTTTAACCGATACTAGTGATGTTCGGGTATCCCGACTCCCGACACCCGACTCGGGAAATTTCCCGAGTTTTTGGCCTCCCGATCCCGACCCCGACTCCCGATGGCAATTCCCGACTAAGTCGGGAAATTTTTACACCCCTAAGAATGGCTTTTTCTGATAAAATTTTATTTTTGAAGGGAAAAAATAAAGAGAAAAAATAAAAAAAGGGAAAATAAAATATTTAATTTTTTTCCCTGACAACTATTGTTGAGAGGTGGTCGAGTGGTTAAGTTGAGTGCCTAAGTTACTTTGATTGGTCTAGGTTCGAATCCGGGTTTGGAGTATTTTATTTAAATAATTTTTCCATCCAAAAATAAATGGTTTTTAACATTTATTTTGATATTAAAATTTTACAATTATTTTTTCTATATTATAAACGTCAAAAAACTGTAGAAAAATTAATTTTGTCATGAATTTTCAAAAATTTTCGCCTGCGGCGCAGAAAATCGAAGAAATCATTACAAATTTTTCTAAATTTTGCTTGCAGCGCAGAAAATAAAGAATATCAGAGCTCTTAGCCTTGCAAAATTCTCAAAATTTTCGCCTGCGGCGCTGAAAAATGAAGAAATATGCCTTCTTGGCCATCCAAAATTCTCAAAATTTTTGCCTGCGGCGCTGAGAGATTAAAAATTTGTCTTCTTGGTCTTCCAAATTTAAAAAATTTTCGCCTGCGGCGCAGAAAAAGGATGAATCTAGCTCCTTGTCTTTCCAATTCTCAAAATTTTCGCCCCCGGCGTTGAAAATGGAAGAAATTTTACAGCTTGGCCTTCAAAAATTCTCAAAAATTTCGCCTGCGGCGCTAATAAGGAAGATGTCTGGCCTCTTGACCTTCCAAAATTCTCATAATTTTCCCTTGCAATGCAAAAAACCGGAATTTTTGGCGCCGAAGGCGCCAAAAATTTTTTTATTGTAAATTCCCGACTCCCGATCCCGACTCCCGAGGTCATTTCCCGACCCGACTCCCGTTTCCCGATTCCCGAGTTTTTTCTTCTCCCGAACATCACTAACCGATACCCCCTATTTCTCATTATACATAAGATAAATTTTTTTAGACCAAAGGATTATCTTATAATGAGGGTTAAACTTTATAATAACTAAAATACAAACAAATAATTGCATATCCATCCATAACAGAAGCACGAAAATTAGGAACAGGTCTAAACGCTAATAAAGTTTCAGCCAAAACATAGCCAATTAATTCTTTTAAATTATTTGTTTGTTTTTGTTCAATACTTCTTAATTTATCCAAATTTAACCCAACAATCTCCTCGAGAATTTGTAATGCTTGTTGCATTTCTATTGCAGGCCAAGGACTTTGTCTTGGTAATGAAGAAGACATTTTAATTAATTTAAAATAATTTTAAAAAATTCCTTAAAATAAATCTTTTTTAACAACAAAATTCTCACAGCATTTTAGGGCCAGAATGCTGTGATAAGTCAAGAAATATGTAAAGTTTTGAATATAACAGAATAGATAAATTAATCAAAATCTAAGACAGAATCCGATTTTTTTCTTTCTTCCGGTTAAACGAAAAATTCAAAGAATT